CCTCACGGTCTCCCGGCCGGCCGTCCATCCAAGCACAGGACGCTACTATGCATGGCCTCCAGCACGGTGCAACTGACGCGCAGTGGCGCCGTCGGGGACAGCTCCCATCGCTGGGAACAGTCGCTGAGTCGGCGGGGCCCCGCGGCATCCCACACACAGCTGCTTGCGTCCCACGGGCTCCTGGCGCCCTGGGCGGCCACCACAGGAAACGCTGCTGCAAAGCCCACCGTCACCACAGCCGCTGCTGCAACTGCGCCGTCCCTGCGTGCGCTTGGGGGCCGGGGGCAGGGCGACCAACCCGACCAGCAGCCTGACCCGCTTCACCAGCAGCAGCAGCCTCCTCCCCACGGGACCCTTCCGCCCCAGGGCAGCTGCCAGCAGCAGCAGCAGCATCAACAGCACTCTTTCCTCGGCGCTGCAGCGCTTCCGGCGGCTATGGCGGAAAGGCATGAGTTCGTAGGTCAGGAGCTGTGTGCCTCTGGTGTTGCCCCTGGTGTCAAGCCGCATCACTCACTTGAGCAGGCTGAGGGAGGGCTGTGCTGGCTGGCGCTATCTGCCTACCTCTTTTTGCACATGCACCTTCTCTCCCTTGGTTCTATGGGCATTGTCTTTCGCACATGTGCAGACGCCAGCTCAGTTTCCCCGGATTGGTGCTGGCACGGCCCCTCATGCGCCGTCTCACTTTTCTCCCCCCTCTGCTTCCTCGCAGGTACCACCACAGGGGGCGGGCAGGACGGCTGCGGCGCTAAGCAGCAGGTATGTCTACAGCTAGGGTAGCATCCGTGGCATCCGCCACAGCGCACCCTAGCCCTGGATCTTGGCTGGGTCTACATCCATCCCGCATTTTCGTCCCGTTGTCCTTTTGTTCTTTTGACACATAAAAATGCTGCCGGCGCCGCCGCCGCTGCCACCACTGCTACGCTTGTGGACCGAACGCAGGATGCCGCAACTCAACCAGGGGCCCTTCCGGCGCGCATCCTGAACCTGCCGCCGCTGCACCTACCGCCGCTTTCCTTCAGCTGCGTATCCGGGGGCAGTGGCACGGGCGGTGCTGCCGCCAGCGGCGGCGGTGGCACCGGCGGCGGCGGCGGCGGCGTGCGGCTGGGCTACGGCAGCTACCTATTTTCAGCAGCCGGTCGACTGACGGGCCCGGAGGTGTCCGCAATGTCAGGCAGCCACGTCGATGGGAACGCCCAAGAGGCTGGCACCAACGCCGGCCCTGCCGCCGCCGCTGGCGTCGCGGTGCAAATGGCAGCGACTGGCACCACACCCACCACCATCATGAGTGCAATATCGCCCGGACCGGGCTCGCGGTACCGTGGCGGCATGGCGCCGGCGGTGCGGTCAACGGCAGGTGGGTCGGGCTCGCGGGGAAAAGGATGCGGGGTTGGGTTCGTTGGGTCGCGGCGCTTACCGTAGTTCCAACTTGGACCCGAACGGAAGGCGGCTTACCAAGCCTTGCCATGAACTACCACGCACAGGACATGAAGCCGGTCTCGACTCGCCACTAGGCCCTTTGCGTGGCGTCAGCGTCGGCGCCGCCGCCATGGCCGTGGGACGGAGGCCCAGTCATGACGGCGAGCAGCAGCGACTCCTCCGCCGGGGCAGCCGCGTTAAACGGCCCAACAGTCTCCTGGCGGATATGGAGCTGGAGGAGGGCATCGAGCGATTGGTGGATGGCCGTCTGGAACGCCGGCGGCTCCACGGAGTGCCAACGGGGCACATGCACGGCCGCCGCATACATCACCTGCAGCCCCACCTCCAAGACCAACAACACCCATCGCACCGCCACCGCGCCATCAGCTCCTCCGCGGATCCGCCGTCGCCGAAGCGCAGCCGGTTCACTGCCAGGGGGGGAGCCTGGCAGCAGGGCGGCAGCGGTGGCGGTGGGGTGGATCGCCGCGGCGGCAGCTGGTGTGTTGACGACGACGCAGCGGAAGATGGGCAGGTGGAAGGGGAGGAGGAGGAGGACGATGAGGAGGAGCAGTGGGAGAGCTGCGGCGGCCGGGAGGACAGCGAGGCGGGACGTGCTAGCGCGGTGAATAAGGGGACGATCGTGTGGGTGGGTGGGTGGCTGGCTGGCTGGCTGCCCCGTTGGGACGTGGGTAATGGAGAGGGAGCTGCACGGACGAACGCGACCTCACCCTTCTCTCTCATTCCCTCACGCCCTGATGTATGTATACATATGGAATTAACGTACATGCCTTGGTCGGCGGCAATGGTGTTGGTCATTATGAAAACACACATATACACACGTGCACACACGCACGCAAATGTTCCGTCCGTTTCCTGGCGCGCTCTGCCTGCCCAAGTACTCATTGGAGTTTCGACATCTTCCCGTGTCGCAGCCTCTTTCACTACACGGCACTTGTCACACCCCTCCCCAACCTGCCCCTCACCTTTACCCCAAAGCCACCCTCCTCCCTTCCCGTCCTTGTGCAGCTGCGCGTGAGGGCCTTATCGCCGTATGCAGAGGGGCAGTTGCCTGGCAACCACCAGCACCACAGCCAACACCATAATTATGGAGCAGGTCTTGCGATCGAGGATCAATACACAACAGGCCGTGAGCCCACCCGGCAGTCCCTGCGCTCTCGCAGCAAGACGCCCAGAGCCCTGGGGGGATTGGCGGCGCCGGCAAGGCAAGTGGATGATGATGGCGTTGCGGATACGGGGCACGATGTGGGCGCGGGAAGGGGGAAAACAGGGGAGGAGTTGGAGGATGAGGATGGGGGTGAGCGCTGGGGACTTGCCACGTCGGAAGGCGAGGACAGCGGCGGCAACTGCGCGAGCGAGATGGAGGCCATGCAGGCCCTGTTCGATCTGCGGACCGCCGCAGCGGCGTCAGTGGCGGCCAGCGCCGGCTTGTGAAAAGGAAATGGATTGCGGCGTACGGCGGGTTGCGCGCGGCGGATTCCTTACCTGTCGCCGCCGCTGCCGCGTTTATATGACAGTGGAGTTCGCTGTGAAGTCTTGTGGCGACCGGGCTCTCAGCCAGTCTGGCTGGCTGGCTGTCCGGCTGGCTGGGGTTCAATGTCCCCACCGCAATCGCGCACGGGAAAGGCTGATCAGATACGCGTGCATGCGCTGCGCTCGCGGGACGAATAACACGGTGCTTGGCAGCGGCGGGAGTGTTGGCAGCGGCGGGAGGCTCAGAGAAGCTCTACCTGCGTGCCAGGCCCCCCCCTCCGCGCCCTCGCTTTTAAGGCGCACCTGCCTGTTCCTCAAATCGGCAATGGATGATGAGCCGTTGTAAGGACTCATGGTCAGCTCCTCATGTTCTGTAAGTGCCAGGAGGGGGCCGGAGTTAGCTTCCTGGAATTTGTATGAGATGGTGGTGGTAATATTATTAGTGGTGATGATGATGGTGGTGGTAATATTATTAGTGGTGATGATGATGGTGGTGGTAATATTATTGTTGCTGATGGTGAAGATGGAAGAGGGAAGCGTCCACGTAGTGTGTGTGTGCGTGTGTAGGTAGGTATGGTAGGTATGGTAGGTAGGTAGGTAGGTAGGTAGCGCTAGGCAATATGTGGGAAGGTGTAGGTCAGTAGGTATGGAGTTGTAGGGAACTTGTGACCGCAGAAGGTCACGTTGCCGGACCACGGTGTTCGTGGTGGGATAGCTAGCAGTCTGGGGGTTCCAGACGTAAGAGGAAGAGCGTTCACGTAGTAGGTGAGGTGTAGTGTTGAGCGTTGCAGCGTAGGGTAGGGTGGAATAGGTTAGGGTAGGGTAGAGTAGGGTAGGATAACGGCAGCTGTTTTCGAACCTGGGGCTTTTCCAGGCGTGCGTATCTTCTTTTTCGTAGCTAGCATAGCACCAGCGCGAACACTCGCGCCACCTCTGCTGCAGATTGCGCGCCGGAAGGCGGTCCTTTCTGCATGTCAGCGTGGGCAGTTTAGGGTAGGGCAAGAGAAGCCAAGGATGAAGGAAAGGGCGAGGATGGGTTTCGGCGCCTTCCTACATGCTAAATAACGGAGGGCGAACCATCGCCGTCCCCATCCACACATTCATCACATGCTTTCTTTTCGGTGAAGGGCAGCAGGGTGTGTGTGATGTGCGGCAAGCGCTCAGTGGAACGGGAGCGCTGCCAAGCCTGCTCAGGGCAGGCCCCCGGCCAAGCGGGGGGTTGCACCGGCAACTACACGCGGGCTGCATGACACGTGATGTGATGTGATGCGATGTGACATAGTCCTTACGAGAACCGGTGCTATTTGCTACGGCATACACAAGTGTTAGAAGTCAGAAGAGCAGACCGTGACGTTGTTCGCGCGGAACGTGCCTTTGGATCGGCGGTGGTTGGAGAGCGCGTGCACGTGCACGTGTGTGCAGTGCCAGCAGCTGCCGCTGCGCCTGCGCCCCCAAACCCCCGCTGGGTTTTGCTTCCTTTCCAAGCGGCGCATGTTGCATGTGCGTGGTTGACTGGTTGAACAGCATGTACCTTGTCTGAGTGGTTTTGGCTGTGCGTATGTGGAAAGGAAGCGCGCCGGCGGCTATGCGTCGGTGGTGGCGGCGGCAGTCGGCTTGCGGTCGGGTTGGTGCGGCCCATTGACCACAGTGACTGGTGCGCTCGACACGGAAATACGACATGCACGAAAGGCGAAGTCGATATAGTAATCGGAATGGAACAATCTGAACGAGGAAGATCATTCGGATGGACGTTTATTTTCTGACTGGTTCGGTAAGTCTCCATTGGTCCATACATAAACCATCCGCACCCGATTCCACTGGTTGCCAATTAATGATGCTATCTATTTGACAATTAGGAATGTTTATTATTGTACCTAGAAGTGGTTATGTTACTTGCTCGCCACCAATTGTGGCTTGCGCTTGGCTTACGAGAGCGACGTCTGCAGCGAGCCAGGGCACTGCGATTTTGCGGCAGCGCTATGTTGCGCGCCGATGCGATGATGGGTAGGACCGCGCGGATCTCTTGGGTTGGGCTTGGACTCAAAACCGCGCAACTGTGCTGTCGGTAGGTCTGTCGGTCGGACACACGAGCTATGACTGCGTCCCTCGAGTGCGCGCGTGTTTCTGCCTGCCTGCATGCGTGGTGCGTGCGGCTCATGGTGGGCTGGGCTGGTGGCGGGTTTGGCCAGCCCTCGGATCCCCTTCCCTTTCTGGGTTTCCCTCCCCTCTTCTCTTTCCCCCCCACCGCCATCTCTTCCTACGCCCCTTATCCTCTCCCTTGTCTCCCGTCCTCGCGATTCGGCCTATCTGGTCTGTTCCGTGAGCACGGTGACTGGCTTGTTTTGCGGCGCCTCCGGCCATGCGTGTGTATGAATGTGCGCTGCGTGTGTATGTATGTGATGCTGCGGAGCCGTCTCCGTGTTTCTCTCTCGCAGGGAGCTCGTCCCTCGGTTCGACTGCCGGCTCCAGTCCCCATTGCGTGAGCTGCGGCGGCATAGTCTGCCGCCGGGACCGTGGGTGGTGCCTTGCTGCAGACCCGGCGGGTCGGTTGGTGGGTGGATGGGTTTCAAACAGCAGCCCAGTCAAGGGGGGGGAAACGAGGGCAGGCGGTTCCAGGACACGTTGGCCTCTGGTTTTGTTTTCATAGTTAGGTTAGTTGTCAGTTGGGACACTTGGTAGGTAGGGAACATTTGTGTAGTGCTTTAGCTGCGTTGCGAGATGATGGTTTGTGTATATACATGTATAGGGGAACCGGAGACGTTTCTTGCTTTTTGCTGCTGCTCTGACGATTGGGTTTTATTTGAAGCGTTTAAACCTACGAAGGAGAGGCGGAGGAGGAGGAGAGTACTACTGCAATACGGCAGCTTACACGGCCGAGTGGCTTGATGTACTGGGCCGCCGCGCAATGGCAGTAGTGCTAGTGATGGCGATGGCGATGGTGGTCGCAGAAGTCGTGGTCGTAGTGTTGTGTGTGATGGGTGGTTGGATACCCCCTTGATGCCTTTTTCGATTTGGGGGTAGCGTGCGCAGCGACCACTGCTGTTCGCTCGCCCGCCTGCCCGCCTGCCTGGCCGCCATGCTGGCACCATCCACCACAGCTCTTTGGCAACCCTGACATTCAAGGTCACAAAAGGTTTCTCTTGTGAAGACCGAGAAGACGCAGAGGAAGAAAGAGAGGAGCACACAGCCCTCACTTGGTGATTTCGCGCCCGTTTGGGAAAGGGGTAGCCACCGCGTGGTGGTTGTACAAGCCAGCGCGCAGGTGTGAGGAGCGTCATGCACATTAGGTGCCTTCATTCGCCGGCGGGAGACCGCAGGTTCCTACTGTAGGGCAGCTGCTGCGGCGGCTGCTGCTGCTGCCATTGCAGCGCGCTGCTATAGCGTGCTACCGCGCGTTGGAAAAAGCGCGTAGTAACTTGTAGGCCACGCATGGCGTCCCTTCATTGCCCCTTCAAGTGCTTCCCAGCGCATACCGCAACCTCCTCTGCTGCTGTAAGCACGGTCGTCAAACGTGATATAGCGATTATAACAGTTGGCAGCCGGCTCCTGTATCCTATTCATAAAAATACCGATGCCGGAGGCTTGTTCCCGGCGCAGGCTCAAGCAGCGTTTGCAGCTGAAGCCATCCAACACGTCCCGCAAAGCCTACAAGTTGTAAATATTCGACGTTTCCTTTTTGGTAGTATCCAATTATTTTATTTCCAGTTTCGATGTGGACTTCGACTAACCTCCTAGTGCTCGTTCGGTACGGTAGGATCGGTGTTATGTGTGGACGGCTCATCCAGGAACAACTGCAAGGGTTGGACCTCGCAAGGATGCATGCACATACTCACACGCGCGCGCACACACACGCACACACACTCACACACACACACAGACATAACGCTGGCATGCAGTCCGCTGGTCGTTGCCCGCGGGCGCAAGCCGGGCGACCTCCGCTCTTTCTCTCTTTCCCCGTCTCTCTCCCTCTTTCCCCTCTTTCCCTTCTCTCCGGGCCACGAGCTGGTGCGGTTGCACAGCCTGTACGGTGGTCAGCGAGCTGTGTACGGCCTAGATCTTTCACAGGGCATGGTGGATGTTGCTTAGGAGGCCATCGACTGCAACCCAGCCAAAAAGTACCTCCGGAATCAGCAGCAACAACCACCACCACCACCGCAGCCGTCGGGGGCCCCTTAGCCCCACATGCTCATACATCAGCAACAACAGGTGCCCGGAAGACCGTAACCCGCCGCAGCCTGTTACTTGACTTTCCGTTGTTGCGGAGGCGACGCAGCCGGAGGCAGCAACGGCGTTGGCAGTGGTTGCGGCTACCGCAGATATCGTTGCTGCTGTTCGGGGCCGCTGGAGGTTCGTGTGGCCAGCGCCTGCTTGTCTGGACGCCTATGGACCCGCAGCGGTAGTGTTGTCGGTGTCTGGGTTGCAGCAGATGGGCCCTATGGCGCCGCAGGCAAGGATGGGAGAAAATGCAGGGCCGACAGAGCTTCAAAGTCGGGGGCCATGAGAAGATTGGGGAGCATGTTACGATATACGATATACGATAGGAGGAGTACGGAGCAAATGAGTGTAGGGCCCAGCGGGGCGCTGTTGAGATGTGTTGGGCTGGCGCTGTGTCCGGTTGACGAGCTGTTTGAAGTCACTCAGGGGGGTACGTTGCGATCACGTTGGTTGCCGCCAAGGAGCAGCTTCTTGCGGCGTTGCCATGCCGTCACCTTGCTGTTAAAACTTGGGGAGGGGCACTGTCTCCGCCCAGCGGCCGTACCCGCCCGCTGTTCCCATCCTTGTCCTTCCCCCCTCCACACGGCACTCATGATGGACCCTTCTTCGCCCTTTACAGGCCCTGAGGTCCTGGGTTTCGCCGGGCGGTGTGGCGGTGTGGCGGTGTGGCGGCTTTCTAAATCAGACCACTTCGCCCGCTTTTAATGATGAGCAGTGTTGTGCCTTGATATGTACACAGGGCATATCTTGCGCCACCCGCCGGGTACTGTGATGGTCTATGTTTCGTTTGGTCGTCCAAAGCAATACACTGTTACAAGTTTGGACAATAACGCAACCCAAGGTGTTACACACACAGTACGTCATACCGCGCATGTCCTGCGGTGCCTTGCCAAGCGACGCCGTTCCGCGCACTGTCCGATGATGTCGTATGGCACGGGCGCAGGTCGACCGAACGGAGCAGCACAGTATGATGTGGGAGTCAGCCACGAATCTGTGGAAGGTGGGTCACCGTGCGGGTCACTGGGGTCATCCCCAGCCGGCCTGTGTCGCTTGGTGTGCTTGCGTGTTAGTAGGCTGGCTGTGGGCTGGCTGTTAGCTCCTCGCATCTCGCTCGGTTCCTTGACGCGCGCCCGCGCATGTGTGAGCCTCTACATCATCCAGGCGCAATGACTCCTAACACTCCACCATCACACCTTTACACAAGTCCACACACGTTCACGCCAGCCACGCAAGTCCACAGCATCGTCCGGGACGGCTCAGTTCTGAAAGGATTTGCTCCGACATTGCTCTTGACATACACACGCACGCTCATTGAGTGCTTCCATCCCAATCCCACTGCCCCCCCACCCAACCCAAACCCCGCCCCACCCCACCTCCCCCCACCCCCACATACACAAGAGACACAGCCACCTCCCTCGCACCATTCCAACTACAGCCGTTGGGGCATGAGTTGATGCTGCACAGTCTGTTTCTTGTTTCCGATTTATATTGTTCATACCATTCGTGCAGTACTATTGTACGCAGATTAGTAATGTACGACGTGATGCATTCGCTTGCATTACTTGTGCAGTTGTTCGAGTCGTACTGTCGTACGTGTCGTGTACTGTGTGTGTGTGGGGGGGGGGAAGTGTGTGGAAGTGTGTGTGTGTAAGTGTGTAAGTTCACATCCTAGGGGCTGGGATGTGGATGATGTATGGATGAGGAGCTCCGGGAGCTCCGGGCTGTTGAACCGAACAGCGCCGAGCCGTGTCAGATGGGCACCATCGGGGGTCGCAGCGGGTTTAAGAGTGCAGGGGGTTCACTTAGGCTGTGATGCTGGAGAGTCCGCAGAGCTGGGGGTCCTCCTCGCTACGCGCCTTTTTACAACGTTCCTAGTTTGTGCTCTTCATGGACCACCGCAGGCGAGCTGCTGTCCAGCGATCTTTCAGCAGGACATACATACATACATACAAACAGGCAAACAGACAGGCAGGCAGACAGACAGACAAACAGACAGACAAACAGACTGACAGACAGACAGACAGACAGACAGATAGACAGACAGACAAACAGACAAACAGACAAACAGACAGACAAACTGACAGACAAACTGACTAACACACGAGCAAGCGCCTGCGCGCGAAGTAGGATTCCTTTCCAGCCACAAAGGCTGCACCACCACATGCAGCGCTCGGCCACCAGCCTGATGCAGCAGGGGTCAGGTGCCGCTGCTACAGGTCCCGATAGCGCGTCTCTATAAACGTTGTAACAGCGGTTGCATGCCACCATGACCATAAGCTCCCCCCGTCCCCTTTCTCAGTCAAAAAGCCATTAAAATACGTCGATCATTACCATTTATCACAACCATTATCACAGCCAATACCATCGTCACTATCACAGCCACTAACATTATCTATCACAACCATTATCACAACCACTATCACAACCACTATCACAACCACCACCACAGCCATTACCACTTTCACAATCACTATGACAACCATTATCACAATCACGATTAACAAATAACAGAAACCCGCCAGCCCGTGCACGCACGGCGAATGGCGAAATGGCGCATAGAAATCTATGGCCACGCTCCCCCCTCCGCTCGTCTCCATCGCAGATCATGGCTGAGGGGGGCCCTTGGCGAGCTAGACGTTTGGCTCAGGGTGGCGAGGCCATGGCCGACTTGGAGAGCGCCTCCTTGACAAGATGGCGGAACAGGTACTCAGCGACAGCGGCAGCGGCAATGGCCGTGGCAGCGGCAGCGGCAGTGGTAACTTTGTGGGGAGCAGCGATTCCCCCTGCTGCAGCGGGAGCACCGTTGCGGCCCCGTTGCCCGGGTCGTTGCCATGCGGAGGGGCACCGGACCCGGCGGAACGCACAGACAGACCACTTGCCAGCCTCGCAGCAGCAGAAGGAGCAGCAGCACCCACCTACGCCGGCGCCGCAGCAACAGCAGCAACAGCTGGGGCCGCCCTGTCGCCAGGTTTGGCGGGGCAGCCGGCGAAGAAAAGATGGAGGTAAAGGTGGAAGTGGAGGGCGGGGTTGACATTGCAGCTGCCCTCATGCGACGACCGCAGATTTCATTTCTTTATTGAAACCGGGACACCTGTGTACGGCATCCTCCCTAGCAGTCGGCGCTATAAAACGCTGACTGTGTGGGCTGTAGCCGCAGGTCCGCTTATGGCACCGCGAAGTGTCCCCAAAGTCTAACGAGCCGCCCAATCCCCAGGCCGCAACGTTTCCCTTATCCTCATACGATATATATATATATATATATATATATATATATATATATATATACGAATATAACAAGGACTCTGCCTCCTACGACCATCTACGGGGAGGCGGCAAAAGGCAGTTTGGCAGGGCTATGGCTATTTCGGATGCGGACTTCCCCTCCAAACCAGACCCCAGCCTTAAGTGCCCGGGAGAACGGCCAAAACGCGCGCGTGTGTGTGCGCGTGTGTCTGTGTGTGCAGAATGGATGCGGCACGTACAGGAACAGGAATAGATGTACGACAGTGTAGGGTGCTGCTGTACACCGTAAGCCTGGTTTCGTGGTGTTGGATAGGTTGGTTGTTTTGCAGCGCGTTTTGGGGACTATGCGGGATTAAGTTCTAATGGTAAATAAGTAAGAATTTTTATATCGGCAGCAGGACATATAAATTGGCCATAAAGCCATAATAGTTTCTGGTATGGAACGTGGAATTTATATCTTGGTTGCTGGTTTATGTACCGTAGTGTCTCTTCGCTAAGAGTTCGCGCCAATGTCCCATTGCCTGGTTAAGCCATTCTACCTACCTACCTACCTACCTACCTACCTACCTACCTACCTACCTGGAGCTGTCCGTGTCCCAACAAATTTGGCCACGTCCCTTTAATCCCTATCGTATTCTGATGGACCATTCTGCCTAACTCTCTTAACTACCTTATCTCCTACAACCAAGTCCCTGCCATCTGCTTTCTACCTAGGTATCTGTCGTAATGCAAAATCGTATGCCGTACCTATCGCTGTACGTAAACCCTACTACTCGACCGACCTCGACCTGCGCACGCCAAAATTGACCATTAAAGCAGTAACTTTCTGCAACATCACATCATTAAATCAAAACATCCGAGGGGAAAAAACGCTCTAGGAATACTCCACGTTGCGTAAACACATTCATATCGCGGGTAGGGAGGACTTTCGTTTGTGTGTGTGTGAGCAGCGCCTCGGCAAGTGGCAAGTTTGCTTGGCTTATGCAGACTTTGTCATTAGTGCAACTCATGCATCAGGATGCTGCTGTCTTTGCTGCTCTAATTGCCGAGCCTCGTCAATCTTGTAACACAAGGACGAATTTCTGCACTCATCTCGAAGGGATGCCCTCCATTCACAGCCTGTGTTGGCTCGTGTGGAGGCCTCGCGCATGAGCCGGGAGGCTCAAGGAGCACCCGGCCAGTGACAGCCGCCTCCCTGGATACCACAGGACCTTTCACACGGCTACTTTCACTGGATTTCCGCTTCCGCCTCCTGGCCCCTTCTGGAACCTTCTCCTCGCCAGCAGCAGCACCCCGCAGCAGCAGCAGCAGCCGCTGGGCATCTTTTACAGCGGAGGACCTTCGCCACGCCACGCCACGCCACGCCACGCCACGCCACGCCACGCCGCGCCACGCCACGCCACGCCACGCCACGCCACGCCAGCCTTGTATGTATGCATCCGGCCGCCATCGGACCGGTACATCTCCGCGCAATGGCGGCCTGATGCACACACGTGGCGCTACCACCAGCCCTGGGGCCGCATCCCGCGATCTTGAGCTAATTAGGGGAGCACATGCAACAAAAAATATAACAATAGCAGCAGCGGCAACAGGAGCAGCGTTGTCGGACGGGGCGTGATCGGCGCAGCGGCAGTAGCAGCAGATATAGCAAGGTGTAATATACACACGCACACACACACACACACAGAAAGCATGTACGTCACCGGCACTCAAGCATCGCATGTCCTCTAGAGATGTAGAAGTATTCGTTTTGGTGGGTTTGTGTGACAGCCTTTCCACCTATCACTTCGATGTCACCTCGAACGCCACTACGGTGACCAGCCCTGTGCCACACATAGCAGCGCCGCCTGCCTCTCCCCGAGGGGATTAGCATTACCACATGTCCCGCACCGTTAAGTGACACCGTGTTACAGTTCTCTTTTACGCTGGGTGCGTGTTCGCGCGCAGGGAGCAACACGCTCTGGCAAATCATTCGTCCACAAATTCTATCGTCCAGCGCGCATCGGGGCGCTTGCGGCCAGTGTGGATGGCAGGTAAGCAAACACGCTATGAGCTGCTTGGCGCTGTTTTAATCTTACGTAGGAGCTGTACGTTGTCATAGCCTAGGCCTTCAGCTTTGCTACGCTGTACTGGTCGCGGATGTAGCCCACACAATAAGTTGGTACCTTTCAATCTCCATGCCAACGACGGGACGGCATCGCGGGGATGCAGCCGGCGGATGATCCGACCCAACGTTTCATGCGCGTCTCTTCCGCAGTTGAATCACGTAATACCATTTTGCATTTACGGCAAGAACTCCCGAGTGCTATGCTAGTTCCTTCATGTTGTGTTGCTCAAAAATACTTAACTGACTCGCTGGTGTGCTTGTGCACCGCTGTGCACCTACGGCGACGCGTTCGCTCTGTCCAGCCCCCATCCACGTCCTGGAGGCCGCTTGCGCTTTGGTCTCTGATCTAGGCCAGGGTCTGACTTCCCTTACTTGCATACATGTTCAACCCTAATCCAAGGCCGGTGACTGCAGAATTGGCTGTGGAGACCCCAACGGTGCGGTAAAAACGTCGCGCGGCCCCAGTTCCCGCGGCCCTACTGCCCCGGGAGTGGGCCGGTCGCCCAGATAGAGGGTCGATGCGTCATATCCCGTGTGCATGTGTCCGCCCTTTGTGTCCGACCTTCAAATGCGGCGCTGGGAAAGGGCCCACAGCTCGCCGCGAGCTGCAGAGCTGTCCCGGCTATATACCCCAGCTCCGCTTCAAACTGGTGGATCCTCAATCCCGGCAGCAGCTCCCGGCAGCTATCAGGCCACACTGGTGTTCACCTTGTACGGCACGCATGTGGATGGTCGGTCGGGATGATGATGAGGCTGAGACTTTGCTGGCCTTCAGCTTTTAATGCACGGACGAAGTGAGGGTCAGAGCCCGAGGCGTGCACGGTAGCGGCTAGGCCAGTACGCTGTGGCCATTGGTCAGCATGACGATTAATCGATAACTTGGTGTCAGTTTCTGAGCCCTCCTGTTCCGTCTTACCATCCGTCCATCCATCAGGACGCTACAGCCGCGCCGGCTGCTGGCTGCAGAATAAGGGTGCTGGTTGTCAGCACAGCGGCGCGAAATATCATCAGCCACAGCAGCAGCAGCAGAAGCTGAAGCTGTTTAACCGCTGCCTGTTCCGCTTGCATGAAGTCCCAGTGCCTTGTGGATGCACGGTGCCGAATGTCTGTCTGTCTGTCTGTCTGTCTGTCTGTCTGTCTGTCTGTCTGGGACCTCCACGTGCAGTGCTGGGGGCCCGGCCGGACGGCCAGCCGCGAGCCCTCGGCCGGAGAGCCTGCGAACCGCCAAGAGCATCACCACGGGGTCCCCCAAGTGGGGGGCTTACCGATACGGATTGGCATGAATGGATTTGCATTACCGATAGAAGATATAATATGCGAAGGCAAGGGGACAGTGGTGAGTGCCATTTTTACCCGGGGCGCCCATAAACACATTTCCAGCTTGCCAATATACCGCTAAGCAGCTTTAAGACATCATCTCTTTTGAAACCCACCCAAAACCTGGGATGGGTGCTGCGTTGTGGCCTGTGGGATTTTGATTGTTAACCTGAACGGTAGTAATCGATACAGCAGCGAAAGTGGGAAGCTTTGTCGAACTGCCATCTGGGGCGTGTCACGGATCGCAAGAGCCACAAGAGCACATCCCACGCCTGGCCGGGCCTCACCTGACACACCTCGCACCAATGCCGCGCGCCGGCTCCTCCGGGGTCCTAACACGGCGTCGCCTTGAGGCTGATGCAGGTCACCCGTCCTGCAAGTGGAGGTCACGACCCTCTTGCTCTGCAGCTCAACCCAGCTTCCCATTGTGGGTGCGAGGCATGAAAGATAGAGCGAGTGGCTCTACGCCAAAAACCCTAACTGGAAATTACTGGCCAAGCAGTATCCTATGCGTTCCGGAAGCTCTTCCCATGACCGTCCTTGGCCCGCCAAGGCGGCCAGCTTCATGTCTTAATGGCGGCGGCTGGGAGGAAATAAATGGCGTCCCGACAGAAATTTTCAGGTTAATAAAGCAAATGCCGTGTCCTGCCTGGGCCTAAGTCGCTGCCTAATGCTGTCCTCCTTACCAACAGCTAAAAAACATCTGCGAGCAACTGCGCTACATATAAATCGCCCAAAGCGGCGATCCCATCCGAACTCTCCATAGGTGAAGGAAGAATCACGCTGCAGACAAGAGCCGTGGACTAGCTAAAGTATGAAAGCGGGAAACCGAAAGAGTCTACCGAAGTAGGAGGAAAAAACACAACCACCCAAACAGCGCGACACGCAGCCCCTAGCAAGGCCGGCGACTTAAACTTCCAATGCGGCCAAAGCTGTGTATGCCATAAACCAAAACAACAAATGCAGGACATAGCAAGCCCCCCAACGGCAGCTGCTGACAATGTTCGTCGTGTAACCCTTTCGCCAGCTCGTCCATGTCATGCCCCCCTGCTCGCTTCAGGTGACGTAGACTCGAGAACGCGGCTTTGGTCCTTCGTGATTGAGCTTGAGCTTCAGCATGAGCTTCTACTACTACTGCTGCTACTACTATGACCACGTCGTATGGCGCCGCGCAGGTGCTGTTGTCAGCGGGCATCAAAAGACAACACCACATATGAAGTCCGTTCGGCGCCAGTACTCCCACCCCTTCCTCCTTCATGGCAACCCAAGTAGACCCTAAAAGCCGATAGGAGGAGCGGTGAAGTCCGATGGGACGAGGTGGTGGCCAGCTGTCTTAAGACACTTTTCACGGATTGCGCTCCCGTGGCCGCCCAGTCTATGAGAGCTGCTGCTGCTGCTGCTGCGACGGCGACGGCGACGGTGACGGCACACCCCGTTCCAATTGTCAGCTGCGACGAGCATACTCGCCACCGAACAGCCCTGCGGCCCATGTCCTCGACCAGAGGGGGACACGTCACCGGCCTGTTGACAAGCACATGAGAGCGGGAGCCCCCGGGCATCCAACCCAGGTGGTCGAGGCTTGTGAGGCCCCGAATGAGGGGGACCTCGTAACCCCCCATCAGGTGCGACGCTTAGTCGTGTCCTAAAACACGACGCTTGACGCCCCTGCCTTGGCTGCCACCGCCGCCTCCTCCTCCCCTTGTTCGCTCACTCGCTCAGTCGCTCGCTCTACCTCTCTACCTGCTGCTGTTGTTTCCCTCACCCGCACTGTCGTAAGAAAAAGACGAAACAGCGGCGCGGACCGCTGTGCGCGGTCAAAAAATGCCTGCAGCCGGGGGGTTCCCTGTATCGTGTCACTGCTGAAGGCGCTGTAACACCACAACCTCTTCGACCCTCTTCTCCTTCGTAGGCCTCGCAGCGTGCAAGGCAGATAGTGGCTCGAGGACCCGAGACACAAGGAAAGGGCCTCGATATTATGGGTGGGCCTGGCGCAAGGGCAAGGGCCGTATCGCGCCAAGCCACCCCATGTATGCTCCGTTTCGACAGTCAGTCTTTGGCGACCGCCCTAGCCTCAGACTGGACCTCTTAAATCCTATAGCCCTAAAGAACAGAGACGCCCCCTCGCGACAACGCCTGCAGCAGCACACCGCATCAACAACACTGCAGCTCTTGCTACACATACATACATAGATACGTACACACACGTCCTACACCGCCGACAACCGCCGACCATGCATGCTTTGAAAAGCCCACGCGGGCGCGTGCCTGGTGCACGTTTCAACTGAAGTAAAGCATTCGACTCTCAAAAATACATGCGCACAAACACAGGGCACATACATGGACCCGTTCTTCCAGAACAACGCAACCCTCGATGCCTCCGACCCTCCGTAGGGTCTTCATCTAGGGTTCCTCCTTTTTAAGCATCCGGCAGGCAGACAGGCTGGCTGCCACCCGGGAGCAAGCACGGAGGCAGGCAGGCAGGCAGGCAGGCAGGCAGGAAGGCAGGAAGGCAGGAAGGCAACCAGCGGGATATCTCCAGTAGATTTCGGAGGGGCGCAGCGCAATCTGGCACGCCACGGCAACAAGTCCGCAATGCATACATGAACGGGCCGGCACGGCACATCAGCTGTTGCGAGGCGGCGAGGAGGGCGACTGAGACCTCACCCTGCAGCCGCCTGCCCCCATCATCTCCCCTTCCCAGTCCAGCTCCCGCCGCCGCTTGCTGCCACCGCCGCCGCCGCCGCCGCTGTGGCCCTCCCGCTGCCGGGCGTCTCCAGCCGTAGAAGCCGCTGCCTCATGAAGTGCGGAAGTGGCCGATGCCGCGATGCCGGCCGTTACTGCTGCGCCAAGACCGCCGTCGGCGCCGCGACAGTGGCGGTGCTGCTGCTGCTGCGGGTGTGGCTGCTGCGACGGCGGTGACAGGGCCCGCTGCCGCTGCTGCTGCTGGTGAGAATGGGCGTTTCGATTGGACGCGCCATGGTTTGATGTACCTGTAAGTTGAGACGGGACAAAAGCAAGGTCACATAGTGTAACGTACCCAACATCAAGAGCAGGGCAGGGCAGGGCAGGGGCACAAACTCCTGGGCCATTCAGTAGGCTCTTAAGAGGCTCCACACCGCTAAGCTACAACACAACTTTGCCGCGGCGCGACAACAGCTGAACACACGTGCTGAATGTCTGTACGGCAACGGCGCAGGTAGTGGCGGAGCTCAGGGCAGCATGGGAAAGAAGGTGACGATACGGTATGCAGCGGACTTTGTGCCGTGCAGGAGTCCACCCTTTCTTAATGCTCCTGACTATGAACACACAGACTTGAGGCTGGGTAGCAACGTAGCCTATACAACGTAGCCACCCGTTCTCTCCGCAACGTCCACACCGCACGGGGCCATCTCATGTTGCTTACACCTCAAACCATCACACACATACACAACCCATTCCGGGTTTCCAAATCACTTTAAAACCGGAAAGTGATTCACGAGCCACGAGCCTTTTCCGACGCCCGCTGATGCATACGTGAGCAAAAAAAGAGGTCGCCAATCCGAGACCCTCTTCCTCTAATTGCGGTCGCCGTTCTCACGTACCTGCTGCCCCGCTCCCTCCTCCTCCTTCTCCACCGCCGCTGCCGGCCCCGCTACCTTGCGATGGCCCCAACGACAGTGGCGCACGCGGGGGTCGATTGGCTGCACCGCTGCTGCCGCCGCCGCCGCCGCCGCTCTCATGCTGCTGCTGGTGCTGCGACGAGGACACAGAGCCACGCCCGGCAGTTTGAGCCGTAGCCTTTTCCTTGCCACTGCCGCCACCACCACCACCACCACCGCCGCCGCCAGCGCGGCGCGGCGAGGCGCTGCGGGCCGAGGCAAGGGGCTGCGGACGGCTCCCGCCAGTAGCAGCAGTAGCAGCAGCGGGCGGCGAGACGACCCGAGGGGAGGAGGGCTTTAGCCCGAGTAGCGGCGCCGCGAACGTGAAGGCGTCTCGGCTATCCCGCGGGTTCAGATTGTACACAATCGGGTTCCGCTTACGTGGCTGCTGGTGCTGCTGGTGCTGCTGGGCTGAGCCTTGCTGACTTTCTGCGCCCTGATCTCCTGCCTGCGCGAATGGCGAATGTTGCTTCGGTGGGTGTTCAGCAGCAGCCTGACCCGGCGCCCGCAGCTCTGGCCCCAAGGAGCTTGCAGTCTGTGTAGCGTTCGGGGGATTTGGGCCTGGAAGGTGTGGTGCCTTGGGGTTTTGGGGGCATGGCGGCTGGTGGGATGAAGACGTCCCGCGGGGGGAGCTCGGCCGCAGCTGCTGGGGTCCGTGTGGGGAGAGGAGGGGGGATGATAGTTTCGGCGGCGGTGGGAGCTCAACTTCCCCCTCCTCCGCCTCGCCTTCAATCCCCTGGTCCGTGTCTTTGGAAATGAGCCGCCGGCCGCTTGCGCCACCGCCGCTGGCTGCCGGGCCGCCGGGGACGTGCGGCTTCCGATGGTGGTTCCTGACCAGCGTGGCGCCGCTGCCGCCCGGGCCGGGACCAGGGCCAGGGCTTGCTGGTCCCGCCGCGTCGACTGCCTCTGGCAGCTCGCCCTCCTCCCCCTCCTCACCGCCGCCTTCTGCCTCACCCCCGTCCTCACCATCCTCCCGCCTGGGTGACGAGCCGGCGGCTGGCGGGTCCGTATCCCGCTCGCCGCCGCGCTCCCCACGTTCCCTATCCGCCTCCTCCCGGCGCCGCTGTCGCGCCTTTTTTCTCTCCCGCTTTTGCTCCCGCCGCAGCTCGCGATCCCGCTCACGGTCCCGGTGGTCCCTGTCCCGATCCCGCTCGCGATCCCGGTCGTGGTGCCGTTGCTTCCCCGCATCCTCAAATTCATGACGCGGCGACAGCTCATCCGGTAGCGAATCTGATGGAACCACTCGCTTCAGGTTGCTGCCCAAGCTCTTGCGCCGCTCGTCCGGGGCGCCGATGCCGCCGCCGCTAACGCCTGCATCGCCGGACACTACGGCGTGAGAAGGACCTCTCCCGTAACCGCCGCCTGCGCCGCTATCACGGTATGGCAGGTCTGGCATAGGTTCGCCGCCGCTGTGGCGCGGTGCGGCCCGGCCGCCGCGGCCGTTCGCCGAGGGGGGATAATCGTTGCAGTGCTGTGGCGGCAGCGGCGGCGGCTGTTCGCGGCCGGGGGAGTCACGATACCCGTACCGTCCGTGCGGCGGCGGCGGCGGCGACTGCGGCCGGGCGGCGCCAGGGCCCCCTGGGCCCGCCCTGCCTGGGCCGCCTGGCGGTGGCCCGCGCATATAGGGCGGCAGCGGTGCCCCGGATGCTTCCCACTCCGCTTCCCGGTACTCCCGCGGGTGCATATGTGGGTGGGGCGGTAGGGGGCCCCCGGGCGGGCCGCCGCGTACTGGGTCGGATTCCCGCCGGCCTCTGTTACCCGGCGGTCCCCCGCCACGGTCCCATGGGTCACCTCCTCGATCCCGATCCCGATCCCGATCACGGATGCGGTCACGGTCCCAGGCAGAACCTCCGCCATCCCAGTCCCGTGGGTCGCGATCTCGTGGGTCCACATCCCGTGGGTCCCAACCTCGCTCGTATGGCGGGCCCGGGTGCAGCGGCGGCGGCCAGTCCCGCGGGTCACGATCATCGTAACGACGCCGCGACATATCACGCTGGGGTCCGGCGGACGACTGCGGCGGTAGTGGCGGTAGCGGTGGCGGCTGCGATTGGCGCAAGGAAGGCTCCCAGTCCCGAACGTCATGATCGCGGTCGCGGTCGCGGTCACGATCGCGGTCTGCGTCTCGCAGAGGCAAAGTCGTTGGCTCTCGCTGCTGCTGCTGCTGCTGCTGCTGCACCAACGGCCCGCGGCCATCCCGCGCACGCTCTCGCTCCCTTTCTCGATCTAAACCTCGATCCTTTTCACGTCCTCTGTCTCCCTCTCTGTCCCTGCCACGCCCTCGGTCCCCCTCCCGCTCGCCCCTGGCCGATTCCTTCTCCAGGCGATCCGCCTCCATACCATGCTGTTGCTGGGATGCCGGCGGGGAGGCCTGGTACCCCTGGGAGGACTGCTGCTGCTGCTGCTGCCGGTCGCGGGGTACGGTCTGCAGCTGCTGCTCCTCATCTTGCCGTTCCTCCGAAGCCGCGCGAGAGGAGCGACTGCGCTTACGGCTCCTGTCCTTTTCCCGGTCTCTCTCCTTCTCCCTGTCCTTCTCCTGGGCCCGGTCCCGGCCCCGGTCTTCCTTTAGACCCAATTTTAAAATCCTGGGCTGTTCCTTCTCTTCACGGGACTTCCCCTTGCCCCGCTCCTTGTCTTCGGGCTCTTCTCGATCCTTGTCACGATCCCGTCCGCGTTGACGTTCTCGTTCCTTGTCCCGATCCTCCCTACCCGCCTCAGGAGAGAGCCCCATCTCCTCTTCCCCATCTCGCTCCCGCTGCCGCTCTTGCTTCCGGTCCCGACCGCTCCGGGTAGTGCTGCTAGGTGCCACCACTGCCGCCACCGTAGCAGCAGCCGCGGGACGGGGGCCCCCGCTGCCGCCGTGCTGTAACTGTGAGGCTGGAGATGCGGCACCTGCACCTGCAGTCGTGTCGGCCTGCGCAGGTAGTAGCTGTAGGCCACCGCCGTTATTAGCCACGGGGGTTGCAGTAGGCCCTTGGGATGACCCCCGTGGCTGCGCTCCCCCCGTGGTGGACACATACGGAGCCACGGGTGGCGCTAACGTTTGAGTCGCGGCAGCAGCAGCAGCAGCAGCCGCGGCGGCTGGGGTCGCAGTCGCCTTCGGCGAAGTAACGCAGCTCGGCGACAGCGCCTGTGGCCCTGCCGCGGCAGCTGTGGTCAGGGTGATTGTAGCAGCGGCAGACGGCAACACGGCGGCCGTTTTGGTCGCTGAGCCGGGGCGGGTGGGCTGCAGGTGCGGCGGCAGCGATGTGGGGGTCTTGACCGGTGGCGATGTGGGGTTGGGCAGCATTGGGCCGTCTAAGGGCAGCGGTGGCGGCGGCAGCCGGGCAGGGCTCGGCGGAGCCGCCTGTTTCGGAGCAACCGATGGCGGCTGTGGAGGTGCCTCGGGTGGTAGCGGCGGCAAATGCAGGTCTGCCAAATGCGGCGGGGAAGGACCGGCTCCGGAAGTTGGCATCGGCGGCATGGGCGGTGGCATGGGCGGCGGCAACGGCGGAAGCGCTGGCATGGGCGGCGGAAGTGGTGGTGGCGAGCCACCGCCACTGCTGCCAGCGCCAGGAAGGGGTGGATGCGAGGGTGGCGGCGGCGGCGGTGAGGGGGGTCCATGTGGCGGGGGAGCAGGAGCTGGCTCCTGCGGTGGCGGCGGCGGCTCGGTCGGCGGCGGAGGGCCATGGAATGGCAGCGGCGGTGCCGGCGGCAGCGGTGGCGGCGGCAATGGCGCTGCCAGCGGGTGGGGCAGCGGCGGCTGCCCAGGCCAAAGCGGCGGCACTGGTGGCATGGGCATCATGAAAGGCGGCGGCTGAAGGCCAAGAGGGAATCCCATAGGCCCAGGTCCCATTAACGCCAGCAAGCCATCTGGCGCCCCCATACCCATGCCATGCGGCTGCGGCTGTAGCAGCCCCGGAAGTGGCGGCAAGACCGTGGCTGGGGGCGGCACGGGAGGCGGAATGGCTGTTGAGGGCGGCTGTGGCGCTGCGCCGCCGCCACCGCCGCTGGGGGGAGGCGGTGGCGGCGGTGCTGAGGGCAGCGGCGGCTGCCACTCGCCGTCCTCATCCTCAGACATGTCCATGTCCACATCGTCCCACTCAGACCTGGATCACACGACAGAAGCATCACGCAGAGGAAACACAGAACGTCAGAGAGAGAGAGAGAGAGAGAGATGAAAATCGGAGAATTTCCCCATTCCCATCTAGCGCACAATAAGGTGTCCGCCCCTCCTCCCTTTATTACCTCCTCCTCCCTCCCTACTCCTTTCCCCATATAACACCATCTGGGCCGTACGGGATAACGGATAAATCTGATACCATGCCATGCGATGGGATGGGAGGCAGAACTCCCGGACAACAGGAGGCCATTTTGCCCGGGGCACCCTCCATTCTCCCTGGCTGCCTGCGGAGCTAGGAGACATATTTACTTCGCCAAGTTGGGCGCTAAGATACGTCGTCGGGCGCTAAGCACAAAGCGCAAATGCGACACCGTTTTCTTGTGCTGAATCCGTCTTCAATGCACGACACGACACCCCCCGGCTTTCCATGCACGTGGCTTGCCGTTGGTTTCCCTACCCTGGATCACGTCGCCTGCCTAGCTGGCCAGTGGAGCCCACAACGGAGAGACAACTCCCCTTTCGCTGTGCTTTCACCTACTAAACGTCACGATAGCAGCACTCATACATTTCCCCTTCCACCCCGTATGCAACACCGCCTGTTGCCGGGTGCAGCGGCCGCCAATACTCAGATACCGAGCCCTAGCAGAAAGCATTCTGCCGTGGCCGGGCAGCAGCCCATGGGCCCTCTACCCCATGATGCACCCGTAGATGATTGCTTTACGGAAGCCGCGGACACAGGCTCCCACGCAACGACCAAGGGCTCCCATGCAGGCGCGGCGAATGCGGCCCCGCGGCTAAACCCTGGGAAATGGCACACATCCCTGCACCCGGGCATACGATACGATTGCCTGCTCCTATTGCCCAACCCTCTGCCCCCAGTGCTGGATCTTCCCCCCCAGGGACTGTTGTTTCCCAACCCACCTATGTGTGTTGGATGGGTTGTGTCTGTGTGTGTTTTGGGGGGTTTACTCCTCCCTGGAGTTGCGTTACCCTCGAAAGGTGTAACGGACCCCTAGGACTCGGGGCCCCAAGGACCAGCCGAAGGCTGTCCGAAATAGATAAAATATCATAGAAACTCGTAAGTGCAATTACTGTCCAAAAACCAATCCCATGTGACCAGGTGCCAGTAGGTAGCGGACGTTAAGCGATTCCATGCTGCTGCCCCTGTTCTTTTGTGTACTGGTTCGTCCTTAGGTATGTCGTTCCAAATTCTCCCTTCCCAAACCCCGCAAGTGCGGCAAAATGTGGCGTGAGGACAACAGGCACCATGGCTAAACTCCGCAGCGCATTCCCCTCGGCGATGCAAATTGCAAGTTCGGCCCCATTCGATTTCCCCTCGCCCCTCTTTACCTCACTTGCCCCTTTACTCCCCCCCCACCGCCGCACCCACCGTCGGCCGGTGGACGAGACCTCATGGCTAGGCGCGGCCGGCATATCGAAAATGTTGGGCTGGGTGTCCTCCTCGGTCACCGAGCGGCTGCCGGCTGCCGCTGGTCCCGTCGACTGCGACGCGGCCGCCGTTGCTATTGCCGCTGCCGCGCCCGCCGTGGCAGAATCGGCAGGGGCAGGCTCCCCGCCGTACGCCCACGTATCCAGGTCGTCCATATCGTTTCCAGGCGGCGGCGTAAGGCCCGAAATGGCGGGGATGCCGACGCGTGCAGCATCCGGCGGAGGCGACGCCGGGACAGGGGGAGCAGGGACGGCAATGGTTGACGCCGCCGCGGCAGCGGCGGTGGCTCCATTGGCGCTGGTGCCGGCGCCAGCGCCAGCGCCAGCAGCAGCACTGGACAGCGGCATCGACGTGATGAATTTCGGAGCTAAGCTGGGCCGCGGAGCTGCCGCCGGCGTCCTGGACAGCCCCAGGGCCGCCAGCTTGAGCTCCTCCTCCAAGTGGGGGTGTGGTGGTGTGACGTTGGGGGCTGGCGGGCCGCCACGCAGCGGCGATTCGGGGTTGAACTGCGGCAGCTGCACGGCAATAACCTCACGCCAGGTGACGGTGCCTGCGCCAGAAGAACATACAGCAGGTGAGGAGCCGGAGCCACAGCCAGGTCAACTCAGCTGCGCGTCCGGGCCGTCGAGGGTCTCTCAAGTCCCCACCTCGCACGGGCACGAAAACTTATATCACAGCCCAGCCCAACCCAACTGGAAGAAAGGTCATAACGAGGTGTCGGGACAGAGAACTTTCGCCCTGTGTTTTCTGTGCATTCCTTGCTCCAGGACGAACTACTAACTAATCTTCTACCCCAGTCAGGCATACGTGCCTGGGCACGTAACCCCCATCCAGGTATTCACCCTCCCCCGCCTGCTTGGCCGCCCAGCGTGTACCGAAATGCCGCTGTTTGTCTACCTGATGGGCGGACAGGCGCCCTTCTTCGGTAGTAGGCGCCGTTGCCTAGGCGGGCGAATACGCCCCACCCAGGTACATCCCTACACTTAACCCCCTGGCTGGTTCCCGCCTGGTCCCTTTTTCGCGGCCCTCCATGCTCACCGCCATCATTCCAAAAACCCAGAATCCACGCCGCCGTCATCCATCCATCCATCCATCCATCCATCCACTCCACGCACTCACCCATTCCGCACCCATTCACCAAGATTGGATCATATTTGTACTACCAGGGCACCTACCCTCAAACCTCATACACGAGGCGGCGCCCACCTGAAAAGTCCGGCTCGTTATCGTCCTCCGAAAGGTCCACCTCAATGAGCTTGGCCAGGGGCTCCCCCGTCAACTCATCTTTGGAGTCCTCCAGGGAACCGTACGGGTTGTCAATGAAGCAGCGGTTGGTCATGGGGCCGAAACGGTTGATGTAGTACATCTCGTACTCGCCCATATGGTAGTTAAATCGCGCCAGGTTCGACGGGCGCGGCATCACCATGCAGTACGGCCGCCGCCTGGTGGTTTAGTTTCGGTGGAAAATGGCGTTTCGATGGCCGCCAATGGATTCTGTTTAAGTAAAAAACGATGCCTATTGGTACCGCGTAAGATACGAGCAGTGTAGGACTCGCCCTTGCAAGCACGCACGCACGACATGCGCGCGCTGACATGGGCCGCGAAGCTGCGTTGGTTGGGCAGCAGCGCCAGCATATGGGCCGCACAAATCGAAAGCATGCATATGTAGGTAAATGGGACAGCCCGCACACTGCGACGCTCACGTACCTGCGGACGCCTGCGACGATGGGAGCTCCCGCATGGCTCATTCGCTGTGGCCCAGCTGCGCCCTCACCGCCCATCTCGACGTGTAGGCCCGCAGGTCCCCCGCGTGGCCCCGCGCCGCCAGGCGCCATGAAGGGGCCTTCAAGATCGCCACGACCTGGTATCGGCCCCAGCCCCGACGCGGCAGCGGCGGCAACGGCCGCCGCCGCCGCGGCTGCCCCGGTCATTGATGCGGTTGCTGCTGCTGCCGCTGCTGCCGCTGCCCCAGCAGCCGATCTGGATTTGAGCATGCTCTCCTGCTCCGTGAGAATTCGGTCCGCCATGTCCAGCACACTCGCATCCAGCAGGTTGCGCTTCTTCCAGACATCCGTGACCTGCTCATCAGCGTGACACACAAACACACGTGATGTTCGTTTGCATGTCTGTCTGTTTGCCATTCATCCATGCATGATGTGCACCCCCATCCATGGTTTGTGCCATGCAGAAACAGGCCATCATCGCACCAACCCCAGTTGTAATGAAAAAGACAGCATCCTCGCACATATTCGTTTACTGCCACTGCCGCTCCGTGTTTGTATCAGTGGTAGGCCAATGCAAGGGACTTCCTTCCTGCCTCTGCCTCTGCAGGAAAAACCCTGTGCACTTCGTGGGTATTCACCACCCCGGCGTGTGTTTTTAAACCAGGACCAAATACCCCCCCACCCCACCCCCGAGCTACACCTAACCGTGCCCACGCTATCCATCCACCCAGCCCCCCTCTAGTTAGCCAGCTAGCCATCGTACCTTCCTTACGGCCCTTAAATGATGTTCTGTAAAGACCTTGAGCCGGAAGGACGCCTGCAGACCCGAATTAATCCATTTGGGCCAGGAGGCGATGGCCTCCTCCTTCGTGCATCTGAGGCCGGAAAAGGGTAAAAGTAGGAAAGGAGAAGCGCGTTGCAGCTGTGGGGGTGGAAAAGTGGAAATGCGTGGCAATGCTGCGCAAATAGTCGTTTCCGAAAGAGCATTTCAGAGAACCAGACGTGACCCTCAAAAATGCGTCAGCGAACAAGACCAAACGCAGATTCTAAAGACAAAATCAACCACCAGGTAGATGGATTGCGAGGGACGGTAGGAAAGGTGCACCGTATCCCACCGGGTTAAGGAGGTATGAGCAAACACGGAAGGAAGGCAAGGAACATTCTCAACAGGAGCCCACATCAGTCAACACATTTTGCTGGGAGGGGAAATCCACAATGGTTGGGTACCAAGCAGGTACCAGCAGGAACACTACCCGTGCGACCGGGGCCCTTGGTTCGCTAACGCTAACGCTAACACTAACGTTAACACTAACGTTAACACTAACGCTAACGCTAACACTAACGCTAAGGCTAACACTAACGCTAAGGCTAACACTAACGCTAAGGCTAACACTAACGCTAAGGCTAACACTAACGCTAAGGCTAACACGGCAAGCAACCGCAGGCCGTATATCCACACGCAGGGGTGAGCTCGGCCGCCCGTGTTTTTGCGCGTGCTAATGAAACCAACAGGGCTCCAGTACGGCCACACTAGTTCGCCTGCTCATCCCCGGGTCACGACCACCCCTTTTTACGTCCCCTCCCGCACCTGTACAACAGCAGCGGCAACATACTGTCCATTACTCATGGACACTTCCATTTCCCACTTGCAACATCCTTCTTTCCTGAAGCTCGCCTCATCCCGCCGCCTCGCATTGACGTTTTTGCATACAATGCCCCCTCGCTCCTCGCCCCCATCCCCTCTCCAGCCCCATGCCGCACCTGTGCAACATGCTGTCCATCACGTAAAACACGTTGAGCCGCTTGGCAAGCACCGCCGCCACGCGGTCGCACCCCGTTGCGTCGCCCGTGCAGCTCTCCGGCGCCAGCAGCGCCACCTCCTCCCCCAGCAGCCCCAGCTTGGAAAAAAAGCCGCGCGCCACACGGTTCGCACCCACGGCCTTGGCCATGAGGATGGCGGAGTTGGCAGTGGATTTGATGGCGCTCTGGCTGTTGCTCAGGGCGTCCAGAGCCCGGCCCAGAAGCTGCAGCAGCAGCTGCTGGACGCCCGGGTTGGCGGTTTCCGGCGTGGCGCCGGAAGCGATGGCCGCGCTGGCGGCGGCTGCCAGCGCCTCCGCCGCCGTGCTGCCGCTAGCCAGAGGCGGCACGGCCGGAGCAGCAGTAGAGGTGGCGGCCGTGGAGCCGGGGGGGGCAAGGGCAGCAGTGGTGACGACGGCGGGGGCTCCCGGCGGCACGGGAGTTGTTGTGGCTGGCGGCAGGCTTGCGGTGGCGATGATACCGGAGGGGATAAGCGCCGCCAGGGCGGCTGTCGGGGGCAGCGACGGCCGGGCCGCCAGACTGGCGGCACCCACGGCCGCAGGTACGACAGCAGCGCCATGTAGCGCGGTGGCGGCAGCGGCCGGCAGAAGAGCCGATGGCCTTCCGAACGTGGCAGCTGAGATGGCGCCCTTGGAGGGTGGCGACTCTACGGGCTCTCCAGCCGCCGCCAGGTCACGCTGCGAGCCCTGACTTGGGCCTGGATGGTAGGCTTGTGAAAAGCTGAGAAGCGGGTCTTGCGACTGCTGTGAATCACATTGCGGCAGGTGTGGCATTGACTGCGAAGCCGGCAGAGCCGCCGTGACGGTGGCACCGGTGACGGCGGCGCCAGCAGAGGCAGGGGAAGCAACAAGCGCGGGCTGCGGAACAGCCGCCGCTAGTGACACTGTAGACGCCGTACGCGGCGGCAGGGACACCACCGGTAGCGGCGGAAGGGTGGCTTTGCTGACGACTGGGGGCACGGCTGCCGGCGCGAGTAGGCTGACAGGCAACGACGGCTGCGGCAGCACCGCAGCTGCTGGGAGTGCTGTGGTGCTTGCAGGCCCTGGTGCAGCCGCCTTGGGCTGCTGTTGCTGCTGCGGTGGAGGTGACAGTTGCGAGGGAATATCTCCCCTTTTTGGCCCGTCATCCTCCTGCTGCTCCTTTGCCTGCGCTGGTGCATCTGCCGCCGCCGCGGCCGGCCCCGCAGAGAACTCTACAGCAGTAGATGGTTTGGCGCCCTCTGCGCCAGCGGTGGCTGCAGCGCCAGCGGCGCCTTGGGTGTCCTTGGCCATCCCTGTGCCGCTGCCTGCCGCTGCACTTTGAGACTGGCCGTGCTCCGTCGCCGTCCCAGCCCCCGCCGGCTTCGACGACGCGGCAGTAGCCTTCCCCGTAGGCTTGACGGCCAACGGTCCCTCAAGCTTCACAGTGCCCGTGTGTCCGGAATCCCGCTGCGCCCTGGCCGTCGGCACGCCCAACAGACCCGCGGGTCGCTGCGGCGCGGCTGTGTTGAAAGACATCTTGCGCTTTGCAAGCTGCTCCTCGTTCAACAGCGGCTTTGGTCTGCCGGTGCCAACCACAGGCTTGGCGTCCGGGGCCCCTGCCGCCTTCTGCTGCCCCAGCTGAGAATCTGTCGCAGCAGCGGCCTGGGTAGACCTGCCGGCTTTAGCGCCTTTGTTAGCGCCGACGGCAATAGAGGCCTCTGCTGGGTCGCCTGGGGATGCGTCTCCATCCTTTATTGCTGCTGCCGCCTGTGTCCCTAATCCCCCGTCGTCTGAGATCGGACTTGCGCAGCTGGGCCCCGGTGCGTCGGCCTCAGCAGCGACGGCAGCAGCCTTAATGTGGACCTTGCCGTGGCTCTTGCTGACAGGCGGCTTTTCGTCCGGTTTCTCGTCAAACTCGTCGGAGTCCAGCCTGACCAGCCTCTGCTGCTTGATGGGCGCTGGAACTGGCTCTGCGCTGCCGCCGCGGCCTCCACTGCCGCCAGCGGCAGCATCAGACGCCATCGCGGCAGAGGGCTGGCTAGCGGGCTTAACTAGTGACCCCTCCAGGGCCGCACTTCGTGGACGGCCAGGCTTCGCCTTCGCCGCACCTCCGGAACCGCCCCCAGCAGCGGTGTTTGCGTTTTTCGGAGGGCGTCCCCGTGGCCTTTTGGCTGGCGGCTGATCGCCTTCTGGCAGCGGATGCTTGCGCGGCCGCCCTGGTTTTCGTTTAGCGCTTTGTTGCTGTTCGTCTGGCTGCGAGTGCGAGGAGCCCGGCTGCGCCTCGCCAAAGGGGACGCTGCGGCGCGGCTTGGCATCAGTATCTGGGGTGTTTCGTCGCGCGGACTGTTTGGGCGGAAGTCGTGGGGTGCCGCTCAGAGCACGGGACAGGGAACCACCCGAGGACAATCGACGCGCGCGAAGGGCATCGCCGTTTGAGTCTTTCTCGTCGTCGCCGCTGCTGCTGCTCGCGCTGCCGTCATCGTCGCCATCCTCTCGTTCTTGAGCACTGCCGTCGGAGTCGCTTGACTGATTGTGGGGGAGCTTGGGATCGTGACCCAGGACGGGCTCGAACTCAGCGGTGTCCAGTTCGTCCGGCGGTCTCGGCAGGCCCAAGGGCTTCCCGTCCCTCCAGGCAAGGATTTTACGCACGGTGAAGGGATCTTTTGGGTGCTCCTCATCTTCGACGTGCCATTCGGAGAAATCCGGCGTGAAAACACCGTTTTCCTCGTCACCATCGTTGGGATAGAAAATGGTCCACGGCGCTTCAAGGTGCGTGGCATCATACTTGCTAATAATGCCCCAAAACTTTCCCTCCTTGCCCCAGTCGACCTGCCGAAAAGGACCCGCAACCGCGCAAACGTAGCGACAGCAAGGAAGCAGTCACATGCATCCTCAGTACAGTGCGATCGTGCTTTTTAGTCCGTTACTCTACCGCCAGGAAGGCTGGCTGCCTGAGGCTGAAAGCACGGATGCACATCAGGCGGTTGGTAAGAGTGAACGAGAACACCGCACCTTGCACTCCTTGTCCAAGATCTGTTGAACCTTTGTGCGGAACTGGATTACCGTTTCCATAACTCAGAATCATAACTCCAGCTTTACAGCGCAGCTATCACCGCCGCTGCGTTTGTTTCGACAGAGGAAGCATTCAAGACGGCATATGGAAACTCCTGCACAAAAATCTTCAAATTATCTCCAACTAGGAGCTGCCTGGTGAAGCAATCGTGCACTTGCGCGTCGGGTGTACAGCTTTGTTGTCTGGCAATGGCTCGACGACACCTATCCTATATCTACAGACCACGAAAGGTAAAACAATCGAAAACATTACATGTGCCACCCTCACAGGCTATGTAGTACCAAGCCGTACTTTCAACAGGTCCATTTGGTGAGGTGGGGAACGGCCCACCAGCCGTCACGCCTCTGAGCCCCTGTGGCATACGAAAGCATGCTCTGGCGGAGTATTGTTATAATCTCCTGCGAAAAGCACATGCCGCATTTCATAACCCTAGGCCCCACCCGGGATACATCCCCTCCCCGACTTTTCGAGGTACCGCTGCACAGGTTTTATCCTTTTTAATGCAGCCGTCCACAGCTGTCCACAGCCGAAACAATTAGGTCGTTCGTCACAAGCCATGTCATGGTTGTGATCGCTGAGGCACATTTGAAAAACACAATTGAGGATAAAGACAAAGCAGATAAAGAAGGGTTCCGTATCTTCCGGGTGGAGAGGTGAAAAGAAGCCCTGAGGGCCGATTACGGAGGCGTTGCACTATATGTTCGTGAGTCACCCACGCGGGGTATTACGGTGGGCAACCAGCTGCTAAGGTGCGAGTTCATTTGGATGCGCATTAGCCTTTCTGCAGGTGGTAGTCCCCTGGTGGGAGCCTGCTATCTCGCACCAGAGACGTCCAGGGTCTACCCGGATGGTGGAAGCACCGTAACACAGCGCATTGCGGCTGCGGAAACAGCTTTTACCAGGATCCAACAAGCACTGACGGAGTTCAGGGTTGGCGATGAGGACGTATTGATAGCTGGGGGCTTAATACACGCCTGTCGGGGACACGGCATGGGCGGAACCGTGCTACCCCGGCGGACCTACCTGCTTTTACGCGAGTGGCATCCCGGATTTGGAGCAGTTGCAGGCTGTACGCGAGGTCATGGGGTTTGAAGGACTGATGGACGATCAGGATTACGACGGACTCGGAATCCGGAATTGCCAGGATCAAGTTTGCAATTTCTTTGGTGCCCAGCTTGGGGCGCTCTGCAGAACCGAAGGGCTGCTCGTGATGAACGGCCGGTTGAGAGGGGACCTCGAAGGCCGCCGAACTTTCCCTAAGGGGGAGGCAGGCGGTAGTATGATCGATTTGCTCATAGGTACTCCGCGTGTATTTCAGCAGTAAGCCACCTTTCTGTGGGTAGGAAACCTGATTGAGCTGGATGGCTGGGAGCTGACCGATCACCAACCCTTGACGCTCGTTCTTAATATTACCGAGGGTGATGAATGCGGGCGTAGGGCGGGTAAGGGCCGGAAAGATGCACCGAAGGTTGGCAATGAGCGAGTGTTCATCCTCCTCTATGCTGATGACTTTAGTCTCCTGGCAACGACACCGGATCGCATGGCGGAGCTGCTCAAAATAGCGGACATGTTCTGGGATGATTTTGGGAGGCGGCTAAATGTGTCGCAATGTAAACGCCTCGTTTTTGCGAGTGACAGCGACACAAGGAGTGCTGTTCAAGTATCGTGTAGTGAGCTCAGGCTGGGTGGTGAGGCCGTACCCGCTAAGGAGGGTGCGCGATATCTGGGTTTAATGTACGGGCCAGAACTGCTCTTTCGTGCCTGCCGCCACCAGTTGTACGACACTGCTAGGGCAGCTACGTTCGCGCTGAGTACAAAATTGGATAAGCTAAAGTTGTTCGCTCCGGATGTGAAGATGAGGTGTTTTGGTAAGCGGGTACGAGTAATACTGTTGTACGGTTGTCAAGTGTGGGGCCCGTTTATGTTAGCTGAAGTCTTGGACAGGCTCAGGAGGCAGAGTGATGCGAGTAAACTTGCGGAGGGGCCCTTCGAGGCATGTCTGAAGGATGGAGCGTTGCAGCTCCAGGTATCGTTCATGCGGCAAAGTGGTGGAAGCTGCCAGGCCAGCGTACCGCCTCCTGTTCGCTGAACTGTCACGGCGACCCCTACAGTACCACGTTTTCTAGCAAATTGTGAGGGTTTAGAACCGTGTCGTTTACAGCGAGGGGGCTGTGGCACACCAAGTTTTGCGACAGGAGATCGCAGAGGCCCTCTCCAACCCCGAAGGGTGCGGATGGGGGTCACGAGTCCTCCGTTTTCTGAGTAGTCTGGGGCACGACGTATGGAAAGAGGCCCCGCAAGGGCTACGTGAGGCAGATGAACGAGTGGAATGGCTTGTGAATAGGCCATTGCCGGACGGTGTAATATCGGAGTTCAAGGATCGGTTGATGAGCAGTAGTTGGAAGCTTATGCATCTAGATGTCCAGGCAGACGTGTACCTGTCAGACGATAAGCAACCGGGAATCCACATGGCTAAATATAAGCATTAGCGAATTGTAAGCTTAAGCAGTATGCTTTGCTGTTGGGCGTCGGCGGCGAAAAGAGCACGCAAGGGACGGTGTTATGTACCTAGGGAGGAGCGGGTATGCCCCTGCAGCTGCACTGGTAGCCTGATTGAAGATGAGGAGCACGTCTTGTTGGGCTGTCCGAAATCAAATCTGATATGGGTTTCCCATCTTTGCGCATATGAAGGACAATATGAAGCGGGAACCTGAACGCCTGGCGAAGATGCTTGAACGTATTCTATCGTTCCCTTTGGCCGTTAGTCTCCTTTATCACTTGCTTAGTGCGAGGTAGGATGGTGCTTATATGCGGTCTGGCAGCCCTTAAGCCCTCGACTCGTATTGGGCGGTTTGCAGGTAAGGGGTGCGCACCCCCACGGCCATGTCACACACACACACACACACACACGAAACAAGGGGCTTTCCCCAGGAGTCGCTCCTTGAAATCCCTGGGTAAATGCCGTTCCTACAGCTTCGGCTTGATCACAGTTACAATCCCAGGCAAAGCCGTTGTAACCCTTACCACCGCATCACACACAGCAGCCCTTCGCTGCCCTGTTATATAGCCATCAGCTCAGACAGCATCTCCGGCCTCCTCACCTACCCCCTGACCAGTATTTTTCCCTAACAGGATTAACGGGTTCCCCTCCATGCGCCGTGCAGCATCAGGGGCAGATGCACCTTGTGGGCGAGCACGGATAAAGCAGTACCCTTCTCCTCCTCCCGATCCTCCTCTGCAATCGCAGTCACGGCCGCAGATGATGCAACACCACATATCACTTCGACCCTAAGGACGTTCCAAGGAATACGGGGGAAAAAGGGCGCGGCCCTCCCCTAAACCCTTGCCGCGCTTTTCCCCTTTCATTTGTATTCACTTCTTTCCCCTTGGTCCCCATCTTAGCCGGTGATCATGGTGCCCACACCCTCGTCCGTAAGCAGCTCCATTAAAATAGAGTGCTTAGCCCGCCCATCAATAATGTGCGAGGCCTTGACGCCTTGAGACAAGCAACGGATGCAGCATTCGATCTGCAGCAAGCAGCGGCGAAGGTGCATGTGTTCGTACGTGTGATTTTTCTCTTCGGCAAGAGCACGGCAACGGCAGGGCTCTATAGTCATTAACTCTCGTAGAGAGTTAATGAGATTAGGAAATGAGACGAGAGAGCGAACAGCTTAAGGAGAAACGAAAGGTGAAGCGCGGGGGAAAACGAGGCATTTCTCCTTCAGCCAAGAGAGGGAGAGACAGGGAGAGAGATCAGAGACGGGCGGCAGGGAGAGACAGGAGACGCAGCACACACCACTGGTCGTCAGGATAAGCTGCTTTCCTCAACTACGAGTTGTTAAAGGAAAAGCGATGAAGTAAACAAGTTACACAATGTATATCTACACATGCTCGCATGTACAGGAGCTGCAGGTTGAGATGGAAGTTCTAGGGCAATACACGCTTTTTTACCTTGGGAATCATGCCACCCGCGATGATGCCGTCTGCTATCAGCTCCCGACATTGCCGAATGTCCAGCGACTGAATCTTGGTGGACAGGTCGTTCTTGTCGCGCAACACTCCCGGCACGTCGGTCATCAGCACCAGCTTCTCCGCCTTGAGTGCCGCAGCGATCTACGCAGCAAATAGCAGTAACACGAAGTGAAGACGAAGTCAACAGTAATGGGAACGTTTACATGTCTAACGCAGCACGCGCACCGCCACTACGAAGGTAGCCTGTGATTCATCAACAAACAGCGGCACCGCCACAGCTAACGGCCACCACGGTCACCACGGTCGCAGCGGACTGACTCCTCTGAAGCAGCTTTCCCGCCGATTTACACACAGCGCAATGTGCACCGCCAGGCTCCCTGACCCGCCCTGAACACCGCGGGGCCCCCTACCACAAATCTTACCTCGCCGGCGGCCGTGTCTGCGTTGATGTTGAGCGCCTGGCCGGCGGTATCCGTGGCGATGGTGGCCACCACGGGAATGTAGCTGTCATTGCCGAGCACGTTGAGGATGGTGGGGTCAACCTTGGTCACTTCACCCACGTAGCCGATGTCCAGCTCAACCATCTGCGCGGCCAGGGCCCCGAGGGGTGGAAAGGCGGACCACGGGCGCAGATGGGCGCCAGGGTTTAGACAGATGTGTTTTAGTACTGCACGGGCAAAAAGAAACCCCAGCATGACAACCAAAACGAGATTTTGTTGGCGCGCATCAGCTATCAGGCAAAGATCCGACGTAGTGATGTGTACTCGCGGTGGTTTGTCGCGGGTTAAAGAAGATGCGCGGATGTGCATACGGAGAGGGGTTGGTTCAATGCATGGTCAAAAAGCTTCGACTCAGACCCAGACCGTCAAACGGGACCCCAAAAATGAGATCCGTGTTGTGCGTGAGCGTGTGGAAGCTGCATGCCGGTGTGGCAAAGGGGTATACAGCGTGTTGGGTGCGCTGGTATGAACGTAAGTGGCCACCACTCCATAGCGCTGTGCTGCTCAGCTCCCTACGCCACCTGCGCTGGGCTCATATGAATCCCCTTCGGAGGTGGAGTTGCCGCAACCACACCCACCCACGGTGCAACGCCAACGCACGCAAACACGCACACACGGGTGGGGTAACCACACTAGGTTTGACAATACGACAGCGAAACCCTCATCAGAATCGAACGCAGACACGCGCGTTCACGCAGGATTGGAGAGGAGACCGGGCCAGGTCAGGGTCATTCAGTTAGCTCCCGCCACTCAACAAAACGCACGGCACGTACTGACACATCGCAAAACTGGAGGTGGGTAGATAGCAGTGATGCTGCAGGCTGCACGATGACGCCGGTGTGCCGTGCACATGCCATGAATGCTCAGTAAACCGTCCAGTGATTTAGGCGATGCGTTTTTATAACCTGAGCCGCGGCGAGGGAAATGCCGATGGTGGTACACGAGCAACTTTACCGAAGCAAGCTCCGTATTCCAGCGACGTGTCAGAATTTTCCAACAAAACTGTACACGTAGCTTGGAACGCAACGCGTAGGTGTTCCAGAGGAAAGGAATGCAGCAACGGGCTCCAACCAACACCCACCTGTCGTGCCCGCAGCAGCTGCCCATCCTTGCCCGTGAGGCCCACTGCCTTGCCGCCCGCCTGCTGAATCAGCGACACCAGCGACTTGTTCACACGGCCACCCAAAACCATCTCCACAATCTCCATCGTTGCGGCTGTGGTGGCCGTAGCAGGGCGGGAGAGGTGGAGGCAAAGGGTGAAAAGGCGGCAGCCGAGGATGCATGTCGTCAGCAGCAGACTCTCAGGAGGTCGTCGGACACCCGGTCACGAAAGGAACATGGGGGCCCGCCGCGCGCTAATCCCGGTTCCCACTCGGCCCCCAAATGCGTCCCTCTCACCGTCCGTCACACGCAGGCCGTTTTTGAAGACCGCCTGGATGCCAACCTTGGCCAGCCAGGAGTTGATCTCCGGGCCGCCGCCATGTACAAGCACGCAGCGGATGCCAACGCACGAGAGCAGCACCAAGTCCGTGATGACGCCGGCCTGTGCGATGAGTGCGGCGGGACAAGGGGAGGGAAGGGAGGGGGGAGGAGCTATATAAATGAGGGCGAGAAGCTTGCAGTCAGTCGTGCTGAAAAGAAGTGATGTGATGAGTGAGGAAATGCAGACTGACAACCAACCAGCAGCACCGCGTCGATACGTCAATACGGTTTCAGGACTGTTTCCATGATTTGCCAGGGCCAGCGTAAAGGGAGGAGCAGCGGCCGGAATTGCGGTCGGGCATTCGCATATACGTGTGAAGCGTAAATACTCGTGGGCTTTGGTGTTTCTATGGAGGAAGGAGGAAGCGGGTGCAATGGCATGGGCGATCCGGATGTGTCGCAGCCGGTACCGCAGCCCATGGTGCTGTCTGTCATTGCAGCCTTGGGGGGAGTAAGAAGGGTAGGTATGTGATGGGTGGACCCGAGAGACACAATTGGCTCCAGGGCACTGGACTCGGCATAGCTAGACGCCTCATGGGCTTCCGGTGACGTTACGGGCAGCGCAGTGCAAATATCTAACCTTGCGCTGGTGCGTAATCCTTGACTGCAAGCCCCTTTTTCGTGGGAATTTAAAAAGTATTGCCGAACTACATCCTGCTAATTCCAAAGCCTGACCCCTGGTCTTACCTTAAGGGTTGGGTCCTTCATAGCCGCACCACCGTACTTGACGACAACGGTCTTCCCACGGAACCTTTGGAGGTACGGCAGCGCCTCCGACAGAATTGTGACGCGATCCAGATTTGTAAGCTGCTTCCTCAGCTGCGATCAGGATGCCACATATCGGCTGTATCAATTGATTTTAACTGTCATGCGGTGCAGCGCATTCAGGACATTTTTGAAATCCACCGCCAGCGTGAGTCATTAGGCCATCTAATATCTGAACAATACAATTCAATAACGCACAGCATTGGTCCCAGTCGCCAATAAATCCTTTGGACCACCTAACCTCAAGTCATGCCGGAATCGGACACACCGCAAGCAAAGATAAAAGGAACTAACCTCCGCTTCTTCAGCAGTAGCCGCTGCCATAGCATGGATGCCGACATGCTTGCGTCCTGGCCTAGCAAGCCGCACAGGCGCCGCTGAGCAGGGGCGAGCTGCGATAGAGCGGCGAGTTACGTTAGGGCTTCCTGTCTTTGTAGCCAGGAGAGCCATTATTAATTAATTGTCGGAGGCGCTACTATTTCACCCTGACCGGCTAGCACGCCGATGGCTTTAGGTTTATAGGCAAGGGGTGGGGAACGATCAGATAGCGTGTCGGAAAACAGTGCTGCCACCGCTTGGAGCTCACAGCGCGACCACGCGAAACACAGGCCGGTCCCTAGCCATCAAGCCAAGAAGCTGGTATCAGGAAGATGGAAAACACGTGAAGTCCTTCGTACGAGTACGGCGGCAAGCTCCGAAGGATTGCTAAACTTTTGGTCTGGCCTTCCCTAACAGATTACCGCATGCAATCCTGTGATTTCTGTGCACGACGAATATACGTTCGTAAGGCTCTGTCATTTTGTCTTAGATGCAGCATGCAAAATTTAGTCTGTGCATTGGCTTTGTTGGGAAAGCGAAGGGGAAATGGATTTCACACCTAGAGAAGCACCACATCTTAAGCATTGCTATATTCACATTTCTTATTACCTACTGTAACTCGCTGCGCAAACTTGTTGCTTGAGAACTGTCTGTAGTTACTGTGTGGCGCGCTGCTTGCAAAAGGCATCGAGCTATTGTTATTGCATAGTATAATAGTCCAGTACTGCCTGCGCATAGAAACCCTTACGAGATCGGTTGCGCAGCAGAGTGATGGCGGAACGACAAGCTCAGGGATGCCTCTGTTTTTTCCTCAGAAGCCGGAAGGTAGGCTCATACTCGTGCTGGGCACACTCTTGAACAACAGCTCCTAACCAATTGCTTTCCGGCCCTTCGCCTCCCGCTGATCGCAAGACTGAGAAAGCTGAGCCAGGCGGAGGCCTAGTTGCTGCGGACGACACCTCACGCCACGAAAGCGAGGGGGGGAACAGACGTCATACATCCGGGCCACCCCCAGTTATGAAATCCCAGCAGCCCGCCCAGGTCAAATCACCCATACCCACGCCGGACAGCCGTCCGCCCTTAGGTCCCCTTCAGGACAGCGCTTTGACCAGCATCATCGAACCTGCTGCAACACCAACACCAGTACCAGCACCGCAGCCAGCTGCGTCTTTGCAATTACCCTCTGACCCTCAGTCCGCTACCCCAGCCCGCTCGCTCGCTCCCACCGGCTCCGCTTCCGCCCCATCCCCCTCGTTCTCCTCGAGCCCCACTCCCCCTTCCGTGGCACCCGCGCCAGCAAGCCCTGCAACCGACGCAGGTGCCGCTGTCGCTTGCGTTCCAGGTCCCCTACAGGACGCGACGAGCCCCACCGCCGGCACCACCGCCTCAAACACCAATTGCAACGGCGAGGACAAGGAAGAGGCTGACAATCCCGTCTGCACCCTCTGCGCCCTATCCACCACCTCACACGCCTCCACCGCATACTTCAGCGCCGGGGGTTGGTCGCAATTCGGCGAGGACGGCGAGTGGCTGGGAGGCCGCCCGCCGTCCGCGCTCCTCATGTCTGGGGCCCACGGGGATCTCCTCCCCTCCGTGGACCTCCCTCCGCCACCTGCGGGGATAAACCACCACCTGCAACGCCACCCGCACCCCCACCAGGTTCACCAGCACTCGACGGCACCGTCGCCCGCGGTCCTCAATAACGGTGCTATTGCAGGCAGCTCAGAGGGGATGCAGCACGGCGACGCGTTAGGGGCCCTCCTCGGCACGGAGTCCTTGGCAGCGCAACACCACCACCACCACCCAGCTATGTCCACCACCACAACCTCCACCACTGCAAGCACTATCGCCGGGCAGGAATGTCATGAACGGGGGCGAACCCGGGGGCAGCATCCGCCGCCGCCAGCACCATTGCCGTTGCCACTGCAACAAGACTACCTCCAGCAGATCCAGCAAAAGCACCAGTCACAGCATTCGAGCACGCCACCGTCCGGCAGCGCCGTGCAGCCCGCAGCCACCACCCTGATGGTCGCAGCGGTGCAGGAGCAAGCCACCACTACCTCTCCTGCAAGTCCTCAGAACTGCCGGGACCAGGACACGGGCGATAACGTCAAAAATGGCAATGAAGAACGCATCCATCACCACCAGCATCACCACCAGATGGGCTGCCTGAGCTGCTGCAGCGGCGACGTCAATGACAGCATCATGCCCGCTGTCGCCGCGACGGCTGCTCTTTTCCACGGCGACGACAAAGCTGGCGCCGACTTAGCTGTCAGTGCTAGGGGCACTGACAACTTCGATGCAGAAGTCCCTCCAGGCATTGCAGCAGCTCGAGAAGACGTCGCGGGCAGCGGTGTCCACGGTCATGTGGACCCCGTGTTGAATTTGGTTTCGGAGCTGTACGCGGCGCAGGGTCGGCCTTGCTGTGCCTGCCAGGTGTTGTTGCGGTACTGCAAGGCGCAGGGGATGGCGCCGGAGAGTCTGCGAGAGGAGCTGCGTGCCAGGGAGCTCCCGAATGCAGAAGCACTGACCAAGGTCTGGGGATGGGGCCCTTCGGAGGTGGAGTGGGGGAATTCGGAAGATGGCAGCTGGGACCGTAGGAGAGATAGGGGTTTGAGCTCGACAAGCAGTAAACCCAGAACACGCGAGGTGATGTGTTAAAAGTGTGCGGATAGGGTTTCACGGCACGTCAGGAAAGGAATAAGGAGTGAGTGTATGCAGCCTTCCTACGTGCCGCTAAGGACTCCGAGGCGAGTTCAGATACAAGAACATAGACAATAAAACAACAAGCAGCACTGACTGCTAAACGTCCTCCAAATAAAGGAGGCGCGCGACATAACCACCGACAAAGATGCCTGAACCAGAGCGCGTGTGTGCTTGAGAGAAGAGTGGACACACGGAAGATGTTCAGCGGTGGCCGCGGCCCCGTTCACCACTTCGAAATGTCATTTGGGGAGCAGAGCAGAGGAGCAGCAACGGCGGCGCTCCCGATATTTGACTCACAACAGGATCTCCAGCTCTATGCAGCAGAAAGACAGGTGCCTAAACGTTTGTTGAGAGAATAGAACCAGTAGGTGTAGGTCACAGAAAGGTAGGGATGAGGAGATGTCCAGAGAGCGCCGACATTATGTAATGCCCGTATCATGTGCCATGCCCGCGTGTGTTTTTCCCCCGCCCCGCCCCGCCCCGCCTCCTCTCGCATCCCCACCCGTTAGACGTCGATGCTGGGCTCGTTGCTTTATGCACCGGCATCAGCACCATCGTGTGGATCCCCTCTTCCCCACACCACCACACCACTACAACTACTGCCATCCGCAGGTGGCGCAGGGTATCTCTGACTGCCTATCTGATCTGGCCAGTGATCAGGGCTGGCAGCTTGTACGGAATGACGACCTACAGTTGCTGTACAAGCCGCTGCCGAGTCAGGGTGTGCATGCGTTCCGGGGGAGATTTGTCGTGGACGCGCCCTTGGAGGTGAGGGATATCGATTTGTGTGTTTGTGTGTATGCATGTATGTGTTGTGTCTTGGGTTGGGAAGGTGAGGGACTGAAGGGAAAAAAGGGGAGGAAGGATGATGGTGATGAACTGGTGATACAAAAAGAGGCTGCGGGCCAACTGTCTCTTGACGTCAAAACCATTCTCCACTGCGGGAGGAATGGACGGAGGGGGAGCTGGGGTAACTGGAGGAAGGGGGTACTGGAAAGGGGAGTCCACGGGTTGGGAAGGCCGAGGTGAGGCCGAGCGTTGCAGTGGGGTGGACTGGGTCTTCTGGTGGTGTTGGGGTTGATTCTAAGATGCGGCGGCTCCTCCGTGGTTTCGGCGCGCGTGTTTTGCCTGCACCTCTTTATCCCTTTGACGGAGCGATCTCCCTCCCTGTCCTTGGCAACTCCCTCTCTCGCCTCCTCTGCATCGTCTACCAACGCCCCTCTCCTCTATCTTTGGACGTCGGCACCTGTTTTCCCTTCTTGACTTGGGTTATGCTTGTCTCCTACCCCTACCCCCTGGACAGTTGACCCTAAGCTTTTCACATCATCGTGATCCCCCTTCATCCCCCTTCATCCCCCTGGGCAGCACATGATGGCCCTGCTGCGGGAGGTGGACCTGTGCCCCACCTGGAACAAGTACTGCTCATCGGCTTACGTACTGAGGGAGCTGAGCCCAGCGGACATCCTGGTGAGGGTACAGGAAGGCGCTGAAAGAGCCCATCTGGAGCCCCGTCCCCTCTCGAGCGTCCTTCCCGGCTGCGACTGCGGCTGCCGCTGCAACTGCGACTGCCGGCGGTCCTCTTGGTCGCATCTGCATCCCCTCCCTCCTCTCCCGCTCCGTCTTTCCCCCGCTTTCCTTCAATCGTCTGTGCTTCGTCGTATCCCCCTCTACCCCTCTCTCTCCAGGCAGGCTTGATGCTTCGGATCCCTATGGCAGTTGGTGCTTTGGAGTTATCTGCAGTTGGTTTCTTTTTAACTTGTGTGTGTGTGTGTGTAAGTGTGCGTCTTTTACACCTCCTGGAGTTGCGTTTCCCTGAAAAGGTGTAACCTGGGGCCCATACGAGCCCTTGCGGACCCCCTCGTCTCCTTCACCCTTACTCCCCTCAGGCATATATGTCCCTGTGGGTGCCCTGGCCCCTCAACGACGTGGGCTTCATGGTGGAGGCCCAGGGGGCGGACCTGTTTGAGGAGGAGGGCCGACTGGTCGTTTGCTTCAAGTCACCAGAAAGGCAACAGGCAACAGGCAACAGCTCCATCTCCACCGGCACTGCCGCCACTGCCACGACCACCGCCGCCAGCGCTGCCAGCACTCCTGGGGTGAGGACGGAGGTGGCCACAGCACAGGGCAAAGGTTCCGGAGCTCCGGGTATTCGGTGCCTCCCCATTTCGCGGGTGCTCGTACCCTCACCGCTTTCAACCCTCTTCCCACCAACCGCCTGGTTTGTTGTATGTATTGGCGCTTGGTAATTTCGTATCCTCGCGTTCTTTGTAACATGCTTGGTTAAGGTCAGTGTTTCGCTGACAGACGGAAGCCATCCTGGCTTACCCTGGCTCACTCCCGCCCACTGCCCTGCATACTTTCCCGGCTCTGCCCCCCGAAACTGTTCCGTGATGGCGTTGCCGCTGGTCCCGCAGCGAGGCGGCAGTCCGCACCCTACATCGTCCTCCCCGCCACCTCCACCTCCACTCCTACCGCCACTTCCTCCGGGCGCGGAGCGGCACCGGCGCATCCGCCTGCTGGCGCGCTCCTGCATGGTCTTCGAGCCGCTGCCCCCCAGGGTGCCCGGGGGGCAGCCCCGCACGCGGTGTGCCGCACAGGTGTACGTGGATCCAGGAATACGCCTCGTGCCGCCCTTCATCATCTCCTTTGTGCTCAAGGTGCTGAGCCCGGTTATGTACGCGGCGGTGCTCAAGGTACGGCGGTAATGGTACTGCAACGGTAATATTGCTATGGCAGTACGGCAAAGGTAATGTACGGCGTAGACAGCTGGTGCCAGAAAGGCTGACGTGGCAAGCTTGTGACGGTTGTTCGCGGTACTGAGCGCGTAAGACGATGAAGGAGCAGAAGTCCCCAAATAATGTGCATGACTCGCATCAGTTGAAGCTCCTTGAAAAGCTAAGAATTAGGAGATCTAGTCCGAGCGCAGTGCTTTATTTGTAGGCTATGCAAGTTATTTTTGTTGGATACGCGCCAAAACGGAATGTTCCCGGTTATTATTATATTACCCCGAACAGGCGGTGTCCACCTGACCACCTGCTTGCAGCATTTCATGCTTAACATGTTCCTAAGGCACACGGGTCCTGTCCCATGTGTGCTTTTATGCTTGTCGCAGGTGATGGCGACGGCGTTCAAGTCCCCCAACAATCCCCTGCCGAAGAGAATCCAAGAGCGCGCGTACCTGTACGGCCTTGTACAGCGCCGTGCAGAGGCCTATTTGCGGTCCAAGTCGGCCGCAGCATTGGGCAAACAGGCGGATGGGGTGCATTGAAGGGAGCAGCAGCAGCAGCAGCAGCAGCAGCAGGAGGAGGAGGAGAAGGGGAGAACACGTCACCGAACACGTCACCGATTGCAGCAATCTGAGGATCCAACGGCTCGTGCGATGCTGCAGCTGAATGACTCTCTTTTTGTCTTGGAAGCAGGAGAGACTGGACTGCGTGTCAAGGGGGAACCGAACTGCGAGGCAGGAGGGGCTCGAGGAGGCGGCTCCCGGGTGCCACTGTGGGGTTGTCATGATTACACGCGTGTGTGTGGGTGGGTGGGTGGGTGTCGTGTCTCCTATTTTATAAATTCAACATGTATGCATGTATGTATGTAAAACTGTAGTATCCTTAGCGCATCACGGGATTCTTGACATCCTCCGATCGGTACTTCTCAGAAGCGATATAACAATTGGTGTATGCATGTATTGCGTGTATAATGTATGTATGTATGCATGCATTGCGTGGCGAATTAGCATCCGGGTTGGCGCTGGGTTGGGTAGCGGTATTTTTTTCCTTTCTTGCACGAGTGACTACCCACGATTGGTTCAGTCGGGGCAACGCAGCCATGTCGGCCCATGCCGTACTGGGTGGGTCGCCGTATATTCAGGGCGCCGTATTTCAGGTGCTTTTCAGGTGCTCCCTCGCGGGGTGGGAGACGCGGACATACCACACAAGAAAGCATCGAAATAATGTTTGTGTGTGTGTGTGTGTGTGTGTGTGTGTGTGTGTGTGTGTGTGTGTGTGTGTGTGTGTGTGTGTGTGTGTGTGTGTGTGTGTGTGTCTTTGTGCGTCGGAGAAGGAAGCGTCGCTCTTTCATGTTTTATCGAAGGCAAAGTGTACCCGGATGTGTTAAATGATGACTAAAAGGTGTGTAGGAAGAGGGTTCCAAATCATTTTCCTCCTCCCCACTTCTTTGAGTGTTGGCGGTGTTGTGTTAGGCGGCTGGTTGACACAACTCTCGCGCATGATGACGGCGAAAGCTGTTCAAATGAATGAATGAATGAACATTATAATAGACAAAAACCTGAGGATTGTCAGTGCTAAACCTATTAGACAAAACGCGGGTGTTGGGTGTTTTTTGTTTCTCGATGGCAATGTTGTTTTCTCTTCACCATGACGGCTGACAGTAAAACTGATCTACTGCGGGCCACGCACGCACGCAGGCTAAGGAATGTATGGGCATATTCGCACATCGGATGGAGAAAATCAAGAGTGTGTGCGTGTGTGTGTGCTGAAATGTCTAAGATACGGGCAAAAACTGACGAGGATGGCGTACCTGTATACACGTGTACATATGTATGTATGTGTAGGGAAGCACTTGAATGGTGTGCCGTACAGAAGCCCCGAGATGTCGCACTGGTGGCTGGTGTTTGGAGGTTGATACCGGCCGGTATGTAAGGAATGGCCAGGTGGGCAAGTGGGCTGTACCCCACTAACAGGTGGGTGGTGGCATTTCATTTGCCTGGGTTTCCAGACACGGACGGCTAGAGGTCAACTGTTCGGCTTCGGATACCCCCCACTTGCGTGGAATACATATTAGTACTCTGAGGCTCAACCAGACAGAGAGGAGTTTCGGGTGTCATGTTACAGAGAGGGGGAACCCAGGCTGCACACCGTGGGAAGCGCAAGGTGGTGTGGCGGCAGACGGATGCACAAATGGACTCCTCCGACCGAAGCCCTCCCTGATGTGGAGGACACGTCACCACATACACACATGTGGGCCTACTTCTTCTTGCCGCGGCCGCTGCCACCGCCACTGCCTGCGCCTTTGTTGCTGCCGCCGCCGACATTGCCCTTTCCACCAGACGATGATGATGACGATGATGATGATGATGATGATGATGATGTGGTTTGAGCCGCTGCAGCCTCAAGCTGCTTCTTAGTCAGCCTGGTAGCCTCCGCCTGTACGTGTGCCGTGACACCCAAGAATCAGCCACGACGATGAGGACGCAATTCACGGGATCTATTTCAGGAGGTCCACCAACGTAATGATAGCATAAATAAGATGAGGTTAGATACAATTGGCCAAGCCTTTGAAGATTTATGGTTGGATATATGAGTAGGGGTATAAGCTTCACCCGTAGCCACATCCGCACATCCGCACAGCAGCGCCCCCGTAATTCAGTTCGTGCTTTCATGACAAAAGGGCGATCTCTCCTCCACCCGCCACCACACAAAGCCTTCTTCCGCACCTGCAGCGGGTCTTCAGGCCACACGTGCTTGGGGTAGCGGCCCCGCAGCTCCCGCCTCACATCTGGATAGCTGTTGTGCCAAAAGCTGGCCAGGTCAGAGGTCACCTGCGGCGCCATAGCACCCGCGGCAGCCACACAGCCACCAGCACAGCCAATACACAAAACGGCACAGGTGAGGGAGAAACAAAACACGGGAACACGGCCAATAAGCAGTTGAGCAGCCGTGCAGTACACTTATTGCGGAGGCCCAGGCCCGGCAATGCCGCCATTGGCGCCCAAGAAGTGGACTTTGGAGGTTTCTGAAAGACCCACAACATCCGTTACGCGCAGGCCCCGTCCCTCACACACCCTCCGCACACGCCACATCATTCCCCCCCTCAAATACACACTCTCCCTCACCGCCACCGGCCTGCCCGCTGGGCTCAATAGCTCCAGGGTAAGCGGCACCCGGCCTCCCGCCAGTAGCGGTGTGGCCGGCAGCCCGAAGAGCTCCTGCAGCCGGCAGCGCACCGTGGGCTGGTCGGCGCTGTAGTCCACCAGCACACGGCTACCGGTGGGCAGTAGCAGGTGCGAGGGCGCCTCAGACTCCACCAGCTGTTGGAGCTCCCAGGGGACTAGCGACCTGACCCAGGGGCGGGGGAAACGGAGACGTGATTTTGGTGGGTAAATGATGAGCGGTGTACTAGCGGTGTCGTATGGAAAATGCCGTGCTTATCGACACATCCCCCTACGATACCGTACTCCATCCACGCATAGACTCACATCGTCCCTTTCTCCCCTCGTCCCACCTCCTCAAACTGCCCCCTATCTGGGCCCCGCTCGAATACACATAAACATAATTGTGCACACGCAAATGACACCAGGACACCAGCGTCAGGACACCAGCGTCTCACCATCACCATTGCCCTCATCTCAGCTCCGATCATGAAAACACATAACACACACATACTGCAGCAGTGTCGCAACTCACTCACATGATGATCCCGTTCCAGTCAAGTTTCAAGAGGTCCGCCTTGCTGCGCACACCGGCCAGGTGGGGCCCCAGCCACCGAGACGCGCACGACAACAACCCAGAATCTGACAAGTCCGGCAGAGACGCCAGTCGCAGCGAGGATGGCTTCAGACGCTGGGACCCGGACGCAGCTGCCTCTCCACCGCTGCCGCTGCCAGCTGCCTGGGCCCGCAGCCATACCACCCGCTGCCGCCAGGCCTCCAGATTCCTATTCAGCCCCACACCGCGCACCCCGCCCATCTCCTTGAATCCCTAGCGGGACATAGCGGGGAGTTTGAGGTCGAAGTTGAGGTCGAGGTTGAGGTTAAGTTTCACACACAAAAATCAAGCATAGAGCACATTGGACCCACCATCGAAAGCCTGCTCACCTGGAGCAGCGCCGGCAGCGCTGCCGCATCTGAGACCGGCACCTGCCGCTCCGATAGAACCAAACAACCCAGCCGTTTCTGCCGCCGCGCCAACACCGACTTACTGCCGCTGGCCCAAAACACAACCTCGCGATCCTGTGCGTGTGTATGCATGTACATATGTCCGTATGGGCGATGTTGTGAGCAGACGGGTACATCGTACAACGCGCCAGCCGCGAGCAGAAAGACATGGGCGATATATAGGAGACTATGTGAAGATAGCTATGTGCCCACGTGTGTGGATGTGTGTTGGCGAGCACGACGTGTAAACCTGCACATTATTAGCTGCTTCTACGTACCTAACAAATGTAGCAGATGCGGCAGCAAGGACAACAGCAGATGATCGGGAGCAGCAACAGCAACAGCAACAGCAGCAACAGCCGGCCAAAACTGGTTCACGGTGAGGTTGTCTGTCAAGGAAACACAACCTTCTCGCAACCAACAACCAACCATACCCCACCCCTTCCCGCACCTGCACCATATCGCTCAAGTACCGCTCAATAGCCGCAGGACTGAGCCCAGCCGCCGATCGAACCGTGTCGTTGGTACCACCACCAGCACCGCCGCTGCTACGCCACGACTGCGCCGGGCCCTTGCCGCCGATCTCCGCTACCGCCAAGTATTCAAACTGCCCCAGCGGGTCGTCTTCTGAGGGCAGTCGTACTACCTGACCTACTCACCAGCCACATTTGTATTTACCCGGGGGAAGGAAAGTACTTAGGGTCAACCTCACCCTCAAGAGGTGGGGACAAACATAGTTGCTCAACAAACCGCACCGAGAGCTGTACAGAACAGGTCGTATCTGCGTTAAGAGGTCATACTTGTGCAGTGCAAGCAATGTAATGAGTAGGAGTATTTTTCAGCAGCAGCAGCAGCAGCAGCCGCCGGGAGGAAACCTGGAAGGTAAACGTCCCTGCTGGTACTGCTGTGAGAGCTGCGGCCTCTCCCGTGGCACACGTTTCGCCTTCTTCGACCTCAACCCGGTGAAGGAAGGAAATTTTGTATTAGGAGCAAGGGGGTGCTGCTGCTGCTGCTGCTGCTGCTAATGCCCACCAGTGGAGAGTGTGAAGGCAGGTCGGCTGTTGGGCCGCTGCCGCCGCTCCGCAATTCGATCAGGGTAGGCCGCCGCCACCAGCGCCCCCACCAGACCCTCCCGCAACATCTGCTCGCGCCACAGGGCTTCGAATGACGACTGAGACAACAGCCGCCCACCATCACCACCATCTCCTCCGCCTCTGATGCTCATGCTACTGCTACTGATGCTTCTGGTACCGCTTCCTGTGGTGCCGCGGCTGCCCCCCCTGCTACCAGCAGCGTTGCTGGTGCTGGTTTCCGCAGCAACCGCAGCAGCCGCAGCCGGGCCCGGGTGGGGCTGCCCGGAGACGTCTAGGCCGGGGGCTAAGCCTAGCGGGCTGGCTGCTTCCGCGTCAGCGTCAAACCCGACACCAACGGTTGAGGTGAGGTCGCCGTCATTATCATCCTCCTCAGCCTCCGATGCGTCCGCTGACTCCAGGGGACCCACACCGGCCTCACGTAGCGCCGCCGCCATCGCGGTATCCTCGTCATCGCCACCCTCGTCATCGCCATCGACGGCTCTTGCGGTACTTGCCGCGGATGGTGTGGGCGATGACGATTTGGAGCCCGACGCGCCAGTGGAGGTCCGCCGTACCATTGTCGTTACCATCGCCGCCACAGATCGGGCTCCCTGGAATATGCGACTGGCGGCGGCTCGGTCGAGTGCGGCATCTGGTACATAGCAGCGACAGCGACAGCGACCAAAAGAGGGAGGGAGGGAACGAATACGCAGGCCATATACAATTGGGTCCATATAAGTTCTCGCGATGACGACGCGACGTGGACAAGACGCGGAAACAAACAAGCCTTATCTCCTGCTCCATCCCCTGCTTCACTCCTCTGTTCGTCAATACCCCTGCCACAGGGGTTCCCCACCCTTCCAGTTTTCATTCCCCCATATCCTACCCTCCACAACATTCTTGCATTTGCCGGCACCTCTGACAAAACTCGTACGGCATGAATCGACAGTTTATCTCTTACGGTTAACTATGGCTACGTTCCTATTATGCATTTTATTTTCATCTGTATATACATATGGGCGAACAAATTTATGCATGTAACAATACCTAAATGAGCAGTAGACCTTAATTAGGTGGGTCCGAAGACCGCCAAATATTGCGGAAGGTCCCGAAGGACACGACCGACGGGGAAGGAATAAGTTTTCAACCAGCAATAGTCGCGCCTCGATTAGATCTCATAGGCTGCGACATTGCCCCAAGCGCAAAGATACATAACAATGGTTCCGGTAGACACCCTACCCCAGGACCAATATCCCGCGCACATCTCCAGAGCGATGGTGGGTCGACATAATCCCTTTCTAATCGCCCTCAATCTGCACCTTACAACTTCTTTTTCAGTCTTCACTTTGCAATCCTGCTGAAAATACAACAAAGCTCATATAGTACGTCTGCATTGCGCCACCACCACCCCATCGTAAACCGCACATGGCAGCACCTCCTCCTCCACCCCAATCCTAATCTCTCACCGTCCCTCGCCAGGGCCTCCAGCCTCATCATGAGGTCCGCACTCCTACCACCGCCAGCAGCCCCCCGCAGGATGTCCCGCTCGGAGCCCAGCATGGTGGCCACCACCGCCGCCAACTCGGCGCAACCCAACTGGGCGCCGCGCAGCGCCGCATGGCCCCAGCGGGGATGAACCCCCAATCGGGCCAGCATGCGGCCATGACCCGTGGGTCGCCCAGTCACCGAATGCACAGCACCCAGGTCCTGTGCGTGGGATCCCAGCCGGAGGCCGAGGGAATCGAGCGGCGTGAGGGAGGAGGAATTACTTGATGATGCGAAAGTCAAAGAAACTACTGTCGAAGTCCTATGATGCCTTAAAGAGCGGCGGCGGAGGGGGGAAGGGTTTTATGAAGGTTTGGCAATGCGGCGACACGCAGGGCGCTCGGGGAAATTGCGGGCGGGGGGAAGAAGGTGGTGTCGCGGGCGTGGTGGTACGGTATCGCGTCATTTGTCCGTACTTGCAGGAGCTCCCTCCCCGCTGTAAGCAGCTCCTGGGGGGGCGGGTCCAGCCAGGGTAGCCCCGCGCCGTCCGGACTGCCCCACAGCGCCAGCTCCAGAGCCGCGGGTGCCAGGTCCGCAGTTAGGATCTCGGGCTCCGAAACCGCGTACGGCAGGGCCTCCCGCTCGGCCCACAGGCGGTAGCACGTGCCGGGGGCCGTACGACCTGCACGACCTCGTCGCTGGTCCGCGGAGGCCTCGCTGATGCGCATCTGGTGCCGGCGGGGGAGAGGTGGGGGGAGAGATGTGTACGACGGAAAGGCGGAGAGGCGAGTTAGAGGGATGATTGCCGAGGTGGGGTGGGATGGGGGATAGGGGGGTGGGCGGGCGGTATTTTATTGTCCCCTTGGAGGGGGGGAGGGTTACAGGGGAAGGAAGGAAAAGGAGCCCAGCAGCGGAAGGAACTATGCAGCAGGGGTGGAGGGGGAAAGCAACGAAAAACGCAGGAGGGGATTTGCACCCGCATGAAAAGTCACACAAAACACGCTGACACACAACCACACGCTGTCACACACAACCAACCGTGCCTTTCAAATGTGTGTATTTACAAGTTCCCCACCAAAAATGATCCTCACCGTTACGAGTCGGTTGACGGCGGTTGCTGGGTCGTACCGCGGCGCCCGCCGCAGCCCCGAGTCCACCACCGCCGTCACGCCGTCGATGGTAACGGACGACTCCGCGAGGGGGGTTGCCAGGATAACCCGCCGACGACGACCAGTCGCCCCCGCCGGCAGCGGCCGTAGCACCTCGTCTTGTTCATCCGGGGCCATATTGCCGTGCAGCTGCAGTACACGGACGCCGTACTTTCGGGGGATGCCGTCCTCCTGTCGAAGGGAGGTGAAGGAGAGTCGAGTCGAGTCCCAGGGGTGGTGGAATGGGTCTGTGAGTTGGCGGGAAGGATGGGGGCGGAGGAGAGGAATCGCAAGAGGGTGATGCCGATGCCGCAAAAGCACCAACTGCTTTTCCTGACTGGGGCAGTCCGGAGAGGAAGAGAGAGGGTTTGGTGGGTGCATGTGGCACCAGCTACAGCAGAGGATCCGCACCCCACATAACCACATATGCGATATACATGCATACAGACATACGTGTATACATACGCACCTGCAGCAATCTCTCCACGGTGCGGATCTCCCCCACCCCCGGCAGGAACACCAACACATCTCCACCCCCTCCAGATCCAGATCCAGATCCAGCCTCCCGGAGCGCCACCCCGACAGCAGCCGCCACCGCGCTCTCCAGGGCATTCCGCTCCCCGACTGGGGAGATGGGGGTGGGGGCCCGGCAAGGTGGGGGGGGAGATTAGAGGGGCGTGTGAGGGCGGGGAGGGGGATGTGGGCAGGACTTGTCAGGACGGAGAGTCGAACGGGTCGAGAGAAAGGAGGGGGAAATACCCCATGTACCAAAATCCCTCATGCAATCCGTCGTACACGCCGTACGGTGGACGAGCGACCTGGAATTGGGTCAAGAGCATACACATATGTCGTATCCCCCTCGTCCCCCCTTCCCGCCCCCGACCCTACCTTCCGGCCGCCCCAGGTAGATCGTCTTCACCGGGAATGACCGGCCCTCGCTAACTACCAACGGTACGGATGCTGACGCTGGTACGGATGATGGTACGGATGACGATGACGACTTGCCGCTGTGTGAGCTGCCGCCGTCAGCGCCAGAAGAGCCTTCATCTCCCCCCTCCGCTGCCGCCGTCGCCATGAGATGTCGTACTCTGTCGCCCAGGCCCCCCCCCAGCGTAGCGGACATTACGACCAGCCTGCCCCGGGGCCGGGGCGGCGGAGACCGGAGCGGGGGTGGGAGCGGGTTTAGGGTTTGTCTTTGGTTTGACATACATACATACATACATACATACATACATACATACACATCTACCTACCTACCTACCTAACCGCCTACCTCAAGTCGGGTCTTGCCAGTCTCTGAATGTCCAGACACAACGTGAGCGCCAGGTCGGCATCCAGATTCCGCTCGTGGAACTCGTCAAACACCACCTGGCGGTTGGGTGGGGGTTGGGGGTTGGGGGTTGGGGGTGGGGTGGGGGTAGAGGGGGATGGGGGGGGGATAATACGAGGGTCGAGGAACATGTAGTGTACGGACATGGGGAAGGACGTGGCCGTACGAATGGCCGGGGTGGTCGGCACCGTGCTGCATCGCCGGGTTCGACATCACCCGCACAGCTGACGACAGCGTGACTGTGACACGAGTGGGGCCCCACGGCGACTGCGGCACGGGGCGGCAGCTGACATGGGGCTGGAGGGCGGGTGTGTGTGGCCGCCAATGTGCAAAATGGAGGACGCTTAGAGGGGGGTCACTTGTGTCGCCCTTCCCCCCACACCTTCCCCTCTCCCCTCCCCTCTCCCCTTCCTCGTATTTTTCATACATCTCCCCCGCCACCTCCCTTCCCCCTCTCCCTGCTCTTTGCATACACTCCTCCTAGGCATAACCCCCCCACCCCCTCACCGCACCCACGCCAGCTAGCTCCGGGTCCCGCTGAAGCCGTCTCAACAACACCCCCTCCGTCACCACCTCTATCCGGGTGGAGGGCCCCACCTGGGGGGGGGTATAAGGGGTTAAGGGGAGGGGGAGGGGGGGAATCAGGGCCGGATTTGACTTTTCTCCCACTTCAAACCTCTTCCGGAGCTCTCCCGAAATACATTTTCCGTAACGATTTGCAAAAAGGCACAATCTGGGTGAAGAGAGGAGAAGAGGAGGCTCTGTGTGTGTGTGTGTGTTTTGGGGGGTGAGATGGCAGGGTCTGGTTGGGCAGCAGCCACAGGCCAAAAGCAGGCACCCGCGGACGCCCTGCCGCCGCAGGGACATGGTACACACCACCAGTAGCGCCGTCGGTACTGGTGGTGGTGGCGGCTGCAGTGGGACACAACTGATTGATGCATTGACGATGAACAACCCCACCCCCCTCCCCGCCCCCTCTCACCTTGCTGTCCAGCCGCACGCGATACCCCACTCGGGCCCCCACCGGCTCCCGGAGGGAGGAGGCCATGCGGCGAGCAGCGCCCTTGGCAGCCACACGCCGGGGCTCCAAAACCTGTACGACACGGATTAACACAACGGCCATCACAACCACCACCATCACCATCGCTACGACCATCGTCATCATGTTCATGACACTTGCACCCACCATCTCCGTGTCAATACTCGCCAGTATTGCTAATTGAACCCAAACAGGACACCCCATCACCTGGCTTTACCAACAGTACCTGGTCCCCAAGATCTCTCCCCTCCTAACCTCTCCTCCTTCTCCCCCCCCCATCCCTCCCACGTCGTGGTTCATCTTTCCCCCCATCCCCCCCCACGTCGGCGACCCTTAGCTTCCTCCCCCCTCATCGTCACACTGATTTCCCCCCACCTCCCACTCGCATCAACTTTAAGGCCCCCCCTTCCTTCTAAGGCGCAACCCCCCACCAGTATCTTCTGTTCCCCCCCCAGATAGGCGGGTGCGTGTCGGAGGAGGGCCAGCGGGACAACCGTGGTCTTGCCCGCTCCAGGGGGGGCCTGAAAGAAGGGGGGTGGAAGGGAGGGCGGGAGGGAGGGGGTTATTTAGGTAGCGGGGTGGAAAGAAGTGAAGTATTAAGGGGGAAACATGGGGGAAAGGGGAGGCAAAGGCACACACACACACAGAGGCACCCCCTCCCTGCCAACCTGCAGCACCAGGCCATTGCTGCGGTCCAAGCCCGTCAGAACGTCCTCCAAGCATTCACTGAGGGAAGGGAAGAGGGGGGGAAGGAAAACGGGGCGGCAAGTGGGAAAATGTGTTTTTTAACCCATTACATGAATACCCACTCCCCCCCACCCCCCACCCCCATCAAACAGCCCGCCCTCCTGGTCAAAACAAAACATCCCCACCACTACTGCGTCACCTTTCCCCGGCCTCTCCCGCAGCAGACCAACAAAACGTCCCGAGGGCCCCTTCTTACCGGATTGGCAAACCGTCCGCAATGCTGAGCACTGCCGGGTCAACCAGGGGGAGGGAGGGGGACTGGGGTCGCGAGGCCGCCACAGGAGTGGGCGGATCAGTGGCAGTAGCAGCTGAACCTGCTACTGCTGCTGCTGCGGCGGCGGCGGCTGCTCTTGCGAAAGATAATGGTGGTGAAGAAAAGCCGGCTGGGATGTCCGAGCCGCGACACTGGGATGCATAGCCGCGTCGTCGCGGCAAAGACGCCCAACGCACATTACCCAGCCGCCAGTAGCTGTAACTGCCATTGCACCTGCTGCTCCCGCAGCCACAGCCGCCGCCACAGCAGCTGCTGACAGGGCTGTTGTTATGGAGGCTGTTGCTGGTGCGAATACTGAGACTCCTATTTTGGCTAAGTCCAGCATTGCAAGTAATTGAGTTTAGGCTCCAGAGGAATGGGGTTGCGGCAGGGGTAGCAGCTGAGCGGGAAAGGGCTACCGGTTGCCTAAGTGCGGGGAAGGGCGCCATGGTAGAGGATGCGGCGGCGGCCAATCTACAGATGCAGGGTGGACCGGAAATTTAGAGTCGTCATGTGGGTCGGGTGATTCACGTGGGGCTATGGAAAGTTGAGGCTTGTAATGTGCAGAGTTAAGTGTGGTGGTGCGATGTTGCGGCTACTGCGCAAGCCGTGCAGTAGCTCTGTCGCCAAGGACCATGTTCCCCCCAAAGGAGGATATAACGGCTTACATTCTTTATTTGGTCACAAAGCTTAAAGCGTAAGTGAGTACCTCAGCAGCGGTCAAGAGCCGCGTGTGGCCGAAAGCAAGCGTGTGGATTCTTAGCAGCGCGCTTTGATGAATCATGTTTCAGCCATACACATGATTTAGAATTATCTTTGTCATTTAAGGCTTGAAAGCGGCGTGGCCTTAAATGAAAGAAGGTCCATATTTGACAACCACCAGATTGTTCGCCAAATCCACCCAAGTTATCTTTTCCTAAACGTCACTTCACTTCACGGACAGGACTGTTTGTCAAGCGCATGCCCGTACTATGATAAATGGTTTTCTCCGTACTAACTGTTTCCAACGCCTACAGTTACCTCCGCAAGGTTTCCACGAAGCAAAGCATGCTGGGTGCACCCTGCCACAGTATGTCAGAAATCTCACTTTTCCTGAAGTCATCAAGACATCACTTTCGGTAGCTCCTCTCGTCATAGTCTCAGAAGCTCCCAAATCTTTTGGATATTTTTGTGCTCTGCAGAAACCTTTGACATGGGCTGTCGTTGCTGTAACTAAATGAACAGTCTTTAGTACAATAGCAGCTTCCGTTGGGTCCTCTTGGCGAATGGACCGAGGGTCTTGTGGGCACACCGTGTAGCCTGGATTATAGGAACGCGCTTGCGAACAACAAAAGTTTGGGTCCAAAATGCCAGCGGTGGGCCGCAGCGCTACAAAGCCTAAGTCGCTGGTTGAACATCTCAGCGAGCAAGCACCCAAACGACCTGTCAATGAGATCGTTAGCCTCGACAGGTACTTGATGTCTGCTCAGCTGCTACTGAAACAGGTAGGTCACGGGTCGAAGATTCGCGGGCACGACGAACGTGCTGCGTTCCTGGCCATCCGGCCTGAAGCTGTGATATGGCATCGCCCCCATGTCATTTCCCGACAGGCAGCGGATTATCGGCTTATTGGAGATGAGGAGCAGCTGTATGTAATGCTACTCAGATTCGCAAGGTAAACCCAATGCCTCGTCTTGTTCTTCCCTGTTCCGCTGGGTTGCCTGCTGTTACCGGTTGCCTCGCACCTGCTCGAGGCTCGAAAGGGAAGAGGTCCTGGGTGACCGCACCACATAAAACACCGCGCTTCCCCCCCCCAAAAACAGCCCTGCGTGTTCGTGCCGTTTAGTAAAGGCGCCCTACGGGGACCCTTTCATCAGCTGCTTCAGTTGAGCATGTCATGCGGTAATGAGCGTCAGTGATGGGAAAAGGAGGGAGGGAGAAATACCTGCTTCGATTTGCCTGGTCTCGCCGTGTCGCACTTCGTCTCGGCTTTCCTGAGGTTGCCGTGCCTCACCTGGGGACCCATCGGCCCGCCTCGCCTCCGGGACTCTCCACGCCTTAGAGCCCGCGCCTCCCAAATCCTGGTCCCGTTCGCTCATTTTCCAAACCGCTTGCAAATCCGTTGTCAGAAGCTGGTCAGCCCAAGGCCTCAAAGTCTTTTCTTACTCTTTGAGCGCCTCTCTGCCTGCCTTCCTGCCTTCCTACATACCTACTTCCTACCTTCATGCCGTGTGCAGTCTTGTGGTTGAGACCATTCCAACCCACCGGGATTTCCGGGACGGCAACGCCACCTACAGAGGTTTAAAAAAGGTACTTACTGCGGGCGGCCATCCGGGGCACGCAGGGGGCCCCTGTCTGTAAGCGGTGGGATGAGAACCTGCGAAGATCTGAAAAATCGTTGAGAGGGCGGAGCTTGGATGGGTTGCTGCTGCTCATGGTCGCTGGCATCTTGCAACGCCCTCCTTGGTTCTTTTAGTTTTTTTTAGGCGGCATTTTCATGCGTAAAGAGCCTGCTAGCCCGGGGATTTCCTTGGGTTATCCTTTTTAAAAAGCGATTGCAGAAGGGCCATATTACATACTTGAAACTATTAGACAACAAACATGGCAAAACAGATCGTCACCAGGGGTTCGCACGTGGTCCCCCACCGTACTACTGATCTGGCCCAATGTTGCTTATGTGCCCAGTGCTGATGGGATGGGCAGTGTTCAACATGGTATGAACGATCCATGTCTGAGGTACCGCATAGAGAATATCTATACTTGCAATAAGGCCTCATACAAAACTATAAAACTATAAATGTAAACCGCAATCATCCGTTATGTGTATTATAATACTGTATAATATATCTCTGTATACATAGATATTATTTATTAGCCTGTAATGTAGTAGCAAACAATGATAACCTGCGTTCAAACCATGCTCAATCGAATATAAGCCTAAGAGTATTTATTGACATATTTACCAACCTAGGAAGGATTTCAAAGCCTACAATTATGAAAAAGAACTTCTGGATGTAATGAACTTTTTATACCAAACAATACCACCTAGCTATCTAGTAACGGCCTATGTATAGCTGTATGTGTGGTTGTTACAGTGTGCTGTATGTAGTAATGCCAAAAACACAGTTTTGCTTACAGGCGCTACTTAAGTATACTACCTAACCTCTTAGATGCTCCTAGTGCGAAAAGTGCTAATACTATGTCAATGCCAGGGACCCTGCCCGCACCCGCACCCCCTAACCTGCCCCTCTGATGCTGCTCCGCATGCCGCTGCATGGTGCACCTGTCCAGGATCTGTTAGTATCCTTCTTGCCGGAATTGGAACGGCTGAAAGCCTCTCTCCGACTTAAGGATAGGCCCGAGCCCCCAGCCGCCGCTTCACGCAATCGCCCCGCGGATGCCGTCCAGCTGAGCGTGTCTGCCCTGCCTCAGCTTGACTGGGCGTCCTCGGGCGCACCAACACCACCACCACCGGCTGCTGCTGCTGCGGACGTAAACCTAGATGGCCAGGTGCCCTTCAAAGTGGACGACCTGCTGGAGGTGCTGGGGACAACGGTTCCGATGGCGCCTCCAGTGCCGGCCGCCGCCGCGGCAGCGGCGGCGGCAGTGGCTCCGCCGCCGGCGGACCCCTACGCACTGGCGGCGGAAGCGGCGGCATCCCTGGCAGCTCTCTCCACCGGCGGCCTTGGGGACATCCCGCAGCCCAAGTACGCGCTCAGCTATGCTGCCTCCACCAATAGCACCCGGCATGCGCTGTTCGGGGCGACGTCACAGCCTCAGCTTCATCAGCAGCAACAGCAACAACAGCTTCAGCTCCAGAGGGGCAGTTCGGGCGATGCCGGAGCGATGCCGCGTTATCCAGTGCTTGACAGAGGTCCCTCCGCCTCCTCATCAGCGTGGCCAGCACCAGTGGCTGGCGAGGTTACACACCTGTCTCTGACGCCGGCAGTGATGGAGCAGCAGCAACAACAAATGGCACTGGCGATGGCGGCGGTACCTCATCCTTCCGCGGGACCATCTCTAGGGCCGCAGGAGGTCTCGGTGAGTCTGTGTGTCTGACTGCCTAGCTGGGCGGGTGGTCGAGCGGAGCTGGGTCACCTTACGCCGCTGGGGACGTGTCCTGGCGTGTCTGTGTGCCTATTGGAAGGGTACGGCGCGCCAACACATCGAAATATGACGTGACATAACGATGCGAACGTGTATGCCCCCCAACCCCCCTCACCTTGAACCTGCTGAAGGCAAACTGCTCCTTCCCTCTCCCCTCCTCCTCCTTCCCAGGTTACGTACTTGCCCGCTTCAACGCACGGCCTGCCGGACACCTGCCGTACGCAGCACGGCGCTCCTGGGCTTCTCATGCCGCCGCCGCCGCCAACGGACATCTCTTCCACACCTGCTCCTGCCACTGGCCCCGCATCCGGAGGCCCTAAGGAGCTTCGAAAGCGCGCGCAGCTGCGTGACGTCCACGTCAGCGTCGCCCTCATGGAGGAGTTCCTGGCTTACGCACGGTCCAACACGTCCCGTGGTATCGAGTCGTGCGGCATCTTGGCGGGGAGGTTGTTGGCGGGGGACTCTACGTTTGCCATCACCACGCTCATCATCCCTAAGCAGGAGGGCACCACGGATACGGTGACGGCGCTGAATGAGGAGGAGGTTTTCGAGGCGCAGTTCTCCCGGGAGCTATATCCCCTGGGGTGGATCCACACGCACCCCACACAGACGTGCTTCCTTTCGTCGGTAGATGTGCACACCCAGGTGCGTCTGCTGGGGTGCGCTTTCCATTACCTCCACACCGACCCCTCCGGTTGACTCTTTCAACCGGCTTTCGCGCATCGTATGATGCCCTTCTCCTCCTTCCGTGATGTCCCCTGTCGTCCGCATGCCCTCCTTGCTTCCCCTCCCCTTGCGTATACCTTTCGGTAGCCTATGCTCTGCGCCTATGCTCTGCGCTTTGGTAGCCTGACTTTTTGCTATTACGCTTAACTTGCTTTTCCGATACTTTTCTCCTTCATCTCAGCGGCTAGGTGGTCATTCCGCTGTTTCACTTTTTCTCCTTTGGAGTAGACAGCTAGTTGCTCCTGTTTTTATCTATCTGGCCACGTTCCCGCAATGACTACTACCCTAGTCGCTACTGGTCGGTAACCTCTAAAACCTACGTGCAGTATCTATCTATTCCATGAGTATCCGTCTATATCTGGTATCTGCTTCACCCGTCCGTGGCTCGTCTTACCCCTCCCCTTGCTTGTGCTCAGTGCGGCTATCAGACCATGTTGGATGAGGCTGTGGCCATCGTCATGGCGCCGTCGGACGTTTCCAAGAAGTGCGGCATCTTCCGACTGAGCACCCCGGGCGGACTGGGTCTCGTGCAGAAGTGCCCCCAGCGCGGCTTCCACGTGCACCCGCCCACGGACACGGGCCAGGAGCTGTACGAGCTGTGTAGCCACGTGTTTCTCAACCCGCGGACACACCACGAGGTCCTGGATCTGCGATGAGGGTAAGGGTGAGGGCGTGGGTGCGGACGTGGGTGGGGATGTGGCTACGGATGAGGATGGGCGCCATTGTGGAGCTGATAGACATGGAGTTGGCGGTGTAGTAGCGGCGGTTTGGGATGGCAGTGAGAAGCTGCAGCCACAGGCGGAGGGCGTGGCTTGGAGGACGGGTGCCCCCCGATTGGTCCGGTGCTATCTTGGCGTGGTGTAGCCGAAAGCCTGTTCTGGGTCATAGCCCCACTGCTGTCTTATGGCCGGTACTGTCCAGTTCATGGGCGTGCGGCCAAGCTAATGGTTGGGTGCACGGGAAAATGCGGTGTGGACGTATGTATGTTGTGTGCTGCTAGTAATATTATAATCAGTGAGTGGCTCGGGTTGCAGCAGCGATGGCTGGCTTAGCTCTTTTAACGCAGCATGAGAGGGTTTGCAGGTGCAGGGCAGCGGGGCACGGTAGAGAGAGGCTAGGCATGCAGGTGTTTCTCCCGTCTATCTCCCCCTCGGGTCCGGTGCATTGACGGTTTGGGTGTCGTATGTATGTGCTTACGTATGTATGTATATATGTGCGTTGGGGGCTGGCAGTAATGTGTGTTTAGATGCGGTGTTCGCGAAATCTGGACAACACAAAACATCATCCTCTACCAGTTGAGCCATCCAAGAGAAGTGCAAGCGCCTGTTAAGGGGCGCAGGGGCATACATTGTGGGGGTCATTGGTGTGTGCAGGTTCCATTGGTCCCCATGCCTGCCTGCGTGCCAATGTGTGCGCTCTGGCGACACCCTCCCAGGGTGTAGTATTGTTAAGGTGGCGACTGGGTCTGATCGTGGGTGGGGGTGGCAAAGACGGGACATGCAAAGAGAGGACAAGAGGCGGACAATGGCCCGGGAGAGGGCATGATGGGCTAGATTAGATCCCCTTTTCTTGGATGAGGCAGATGGAGTGGGGGACTCTTGTGCGGTGTAAGGCGGGCGACAAGTTGTGGTTGTGATGGTGGTGCATCTATCGCGCTGGCCATATACCAATTAGGGTTGCAAACTGCTCCTCATCCGGCCGCTTCCTCCGTCCTGCCCTGAGGTCTAGGTAGATGCGGATGTGGATCCCAGAGCGGTGCCTTTCACATGCTTGGATAAGCACGAGGTTGTTCATGTGTGTGCGATCGCGGAGGCATAAATGGTTTCATGTTTTCCATGCGGCCGAAGATGGACTTTCCTTCCACTTGTGAAGGCACCGGCCGACGGCCCCAAAAACTTAGGGATCCATCGACCTTAGCTTGCTGAAGAGGTCTAAAAGGGACAGTAAGCACGGCATGATTATGGCCATGACTAGCACAAGCTTTCTGAACAGTAACGCATTCTAACATGCCGGCATGGAGGGAAATGCCTACCAAAAATAATTCAAGACGAGAGCCGGTGGGCATGCATTCTCCTAACACTACAACCCTTTATAACCATGCGGAGTTTTTTTTGCATAAATTGGAGTGTTCATGGTCAAAACATTCACACGCCGTTATCACGTCACCATGAATTACACAGCCATGCGCAGAAGTTACAGTCTCACAGACACCCCTGCTGGGACCACACAATGATCCCCAAAAGATTTGGTTGACGCCAGTCGCATCCATTCCTTCCATCACCTCTCATTTCTATAGCTGGATACAGACTCGTGACAGCAATCTTTAACCTTCTCTGTTAGTCCGAACGTGCCGCGTGCACCTCGTTCTGGATGCATGCTGGAACCTTGAATACTTTCTGCTACTACAAGGTCCTAGCAGTAAGGGCCGGATGCCAATACGCAGATAGTCCAACATGCACACACCATGCATCATGGTACAGAACAGCAAATGGGACCCATGCCGAAAGCCCAGCTTCGCCAGCTTCCCATAACCTCCCACAAAGTCGACTGATCATCTTAAAACTCCACTAGCACCATTATTGGCTCGAACATGTCCAAATCGTCTTACTCGCACTTAATGGCGCGGTAGATATGACGGACAAACATCAGTGAGGCGCGCCAGCCAACGGTGCCCAGCATCAAGAAGAAGCCGTAGCAGACCATCAACATGTAGCCAAAGAAAAACGAAGTCTGCATGAAGCCGCTCATGTCGGAACGCGCGTAGTAGTAGTAGAAGCAATAGCCATACACAAAGATGCCGGTGGAGCCACCGCACAGGAACGAGCGCCACCACCACTGGTGGTCCTCAACTGCTAACTGGAAGTATGTCAGGGCAATGGTGATGAATGCGGTGACAATGATGAGGATGACATACACGATGGCCAGGATAGACCAGATGATGTAGACCTTGTGGCCCCACACGCTTGCAAAAATGTAGTACAACTCCACGTAGATTGCAGAGAATGGCAGGAAGCCAGCCATAATCATTTGAGGAAGTGTTGTGCGGTACCACGGAAGCTGCGGGATCTCGCGTGGGTACTTGTTCGTCCGGCAAGGCGCAAAGAACTCCGCACTGTGGAAGGGTAAAGGTTGTCAGAACAAAATCACGAGCAAGCATGCAGCAATGTCGATCCATGTAGATGCAAGTCCAAGCTGTCAGATCTCAAATTCTTGGCCCTAATTTCCCAACAGAGCCAGTCAACGCAGCGCTCAAAGCAGGTGTAATGTAGAATTCCGTCAGCAGTCTTCAGTAATAAGCGGCTGCCACTCACCGGTTGTTCTTGCCCGCAATACCACCAAAGACAGTCAGCGGAATTGTCACCAAGCTCCAGATCAAGCACATGATAACGATGGTACCGAAAGGCAGCGCCGCAGTCGACTGCCACGAGGAAAGCAGCCATGGCACACAGTACACACACACAACTCTTTTTGGAGAACTGCCTGCTTTAAATGTATCATTGAGTTCGCGCAACCTGGCAGCAAGGCGCAACTTCACAACGAAATTCGCACTCCGTGTAGTATGTGTATCCCCTTAACCCTTGCATACAAACGTTATCCAACCGGTGTGATCTGGCTTGCCCGGTGAAAGAAGTTACCACCGTCCCGTGCTCACCCGGTACACAATGGCCACGGTGTTCAGGAAGGCAAACATAATGAGGAACGGCCCACAGTAGACGAAGCAAGTCAGCAGGATGTTGCGGACCCACAGCTCGCCCTCCATCTGCTTATAATACGATGATGCTGCGAAGCCCGCAATGCAAGCTGTCAGCGCATACAGTACAATCAGCGCCGTGTAGAGCGCACCACGGTTGTAGGGGTAGAAGACACCCACGAGCGCCAACACGAAGATGAAGAGGGCCAGGTAGAAGAGCTGCAGGCGGTATGGTTGGCACAGGAAGGGCAGATCTGATCCAATGCACATGGGACGCAAAGCCTGCACACTATTGCATACGGGGGATAGGTAAGGCGGACGTTCTCCATGATGCATACCTGGGTGCCTGTGCCGACGAACGCACAGAACAGGTTCTTCTGGGGTGGGAAGCGGAAAACATCGCCGTGCACATACTTCCAGCCAGACTCCTCCTCGTCCATGGCAGCTACACAACGTGAAGCAGAGGGTCATCTCCCGCTTAGGCAAAAGCAAAAGATATGCATCTGCACTTACGATCGTCCTTGTTGTACTTTATGAAGTCCGCCTTGAGCACTCGCATCAAGATAGTAGCCAGGAAGCCCGTGAGCAGCAGCACGGTGACGCAGGAGTTGATAATGGAAAACCAGTGGATCTGCACGGACGACGGAGAAATAAGGATTGTGAAGGGAGCAGCGACTCCTAGTATTTACATCCAAACCCGCCAATCAGTTTCCCCTTTCCCCGGGGCCCCCTTATGGGCACATACCTCCAGGTGGACAGGGTTGAGTGGAAAACGCTCATAGCGCTGGAGACGCTGCTCAAACATGGTTGCCGTGGGAGTCCACTTCACCGAGTAAGTGAAGCGCGCCTTCACAGTATCCGTAATACCATCTGATATGTCGACAGCTTCCTGGGGATCTGTCGAAACGTTGATCTCAATGACGGAGTCGTCGTTGTATTTGATATCGAAGTCGATGTGCGTAAACAGGTAATACTTGTACTCAGTCACACCACCCGGCTTGAAAAGCTTTTCCATCTTGCCAATGAATCCCCAGACGGGCAGATCATCGTAGTACATTTGGAAATACCAGTCCTCCTTGACTGCCTGAACGTCATGACCAAGCTCCAATTAGATGTCATGTCCCAAAGCCCGCGCAGAGGCGTAATCATACCTTGCGGAATTTTGCTAGGCGGTCACCGTCTAAAAGCTGCTCGCAAATCAGCTCCCGGTTGCGGTTCTTGCGGAACTGCAACTGGTAGGGCGTGCTCGCCATCCGGTTTGCGTCTACGACCTCGCCCATACCCAGGAGCTTGTGCTTGACCCCGTCCTTGGGCTGGCAGTATGGCAAGCTGTAGTACTCATAAGTCTCGCTGCATACACCAGTACGCAGACCAGTCAGTCGCCTGGCTGTTGTGCCGCTGGCCCATTTCCTTCACTCCAGCAGGGCCGTGTCCTCCTCACCTTGGGTTGGTAAATGGCCCAACCTTGCTGGCCCACAAAGGTACAGGGTCATCAACCTTATACGTATGGTCCTTTTCGCTCAATAGCTCGCGTCCCACAGCTGCCTCGGTGACTGCCGGAATGCGGACTGCAGCAGCTAGCTGCAATAGCACTAACAATGCAAAGGGGACTAGCCGATTCATGGTAGTGACTGCACCAGGCCGCTGTGCAGGTCACAGAGATCGCAGCTGCTCAGGACACGTATTGCAGCATAGATGCAACCCAAGAGTTATAGTCTAATGGAAAGCAACACAACACGATGACTGAGCGAGTCTGGCACGTTGGCATGAAAATTGAGCGAGATGTACTCTGCACGACAAAAAGTAGTTTCCCCGCTCAACCTCCACCGAAGCACTGTACAGCAACAATATTTTTTTGTTTCTATCGTGTGCCAAGTAGCAGAAGAATGCTGGTATGGCTTTTCAGTCCGGGGTCTGCGTCTTAACAAAGCCTAGTACGTCAGGTCGAAACTAGGCATGGACATCAGACCTTGGCTCCAGGATTTATATGCGCCTTCAATCCTGGTGGCCGCGACCCCAGCGGCGGAGGCAGCGGTGCAGGTCAAGAATGGGTTAAGCCTTGTTGACCTGCTGCGCCCATACAGTAGCGTTTACCAACTTAATGGTAAGTATTCAGGCCTAGCGCAATCCTGTCGCGACCGCATGGGTTTGCATTCGACGTCGCCCTGGACCTACCTAAGCTACCGCAAACCCCGCCGCGGGTATTTGCGAAAAGCACGATTCCCCCACCCTACCTCACAATGCCCCTGTGGTGCAGTACCTGTGCGCGTTGGAGAGGCGTCAGTGCGCGTCCAGGATCTCCGCATCCGCTTCTACGATGCCGCTACCTTGTATCAACCGCCACCGGAGGTGCGGTCATGCGCACTCAATACGACGCCGCGCAGGCAGAAGCGTTAACCGCGCTGCTTGCCCGCGCGTCCTGCACAGCTGCCTGTGCATGGCTGTGTTCCCGCTGCCATTCTTCATAGGCTTAGGAACAGGTGATTTGTGTCACAGGGCGCAGACCTCCACAGCAGTAACGCCAGTAATCCTGGCACCCTCCATAAGCCCGTACAATCACAGGCAGTTGGAAAGCGCATGCCGAACATGCACATACACACACAGACATCTTGCTTCTCACCTTAATTGGGATTTTGTTTTCGCGTACCTACCTCCGCCCGTCTCCGTGGTGCTAGGCAAACTGCGTCTCCTGGGACAGCACCCTTTTTCCATTGCCGCAAACTCGCCACAATGCTATGCCTCATGTCGCCGTATGGAGTGGGGCACAACCGGCACTGCTGTAACGGCCGCATGTTGTTCTGCCGCCAGGTCATGGAGGAGCACCTTCAGGAGGTGCTCAAAGCAGCGGCCCAGCGCCATGCCCGACTGGAGCCAGTTCCCGACCTGCTCCAGCGCTTCATGTCAGGTATATCAGGTGTCGACCAACCCGGATTGCGGATTGCGAACGGGAGGGCGGGAAAAAGGGATCCCTGCGTCGGCGCATATTGTACATTTGGAGTTGCGGCGATGCTGGTGGCCGGTCAATACGTGCCGCCCGTGAATCTTTTTTTAACTACACCTTCTTCCCTTCCCCGCCCTTTGGCAGGCAACCCTCCGGACATGCGGGAGCTGACACCGTGGTTCACGGCGTACCGCTCGGAGTTCCTGCGGCTGCTGCGGCTCGGGGACCACGAGACGTTGGACTACCCTGTTGCATGTGAGGCGTTCGCGAAGGGTTACCAGCATATGGGATTGTGGACCTGTCTGAGAGTGGTCCAAGCGTGCGCGTATGCATATGTCTCGGGTAACGAAGGCCGAAGGCGGCGCGTCTCGCTTTTGGGACACATGCCTTCCCAGGCGGGGATAATGGCAAAAGGCCACGCAACACTGATTAACGGGGATAAGGCTATAACATTTGTCTCGAGTATTTCACGACACTGGGAAGAAACGCCGCGCGGAATTGGAAAGCGGGCAGGAGACTATGAGAGACAGTCGCATTAAACCAGAAACACTCGAGGGCCTAAAATACCAGTGCGTGGCGCAAGCACGCAACGTTCCTTTCCCGCAAACTCCAACCCGATCAGGTGTGTACGCCATCCCCGCCGACGTGGTCAACCCCGCCTCCCACTTCGACACGCTGGTTGCGCAGCTAGTGATGCCGCCGCTGATGCAGCAGGACGTCATGTATACTGTGCGTGATAAGGACTTCCCGCGTCACTACCTGCTGCTGCTGGATGTGGCAGCTGGCATGAGTGAGAAGCGGTGGGTGGCGGGTGGATGGCGGAAGGAACAGAGAGATGTTCATAAGGATCTGCAACTGCAACATCTCATGAAGCCAGATTGCAAGGAGCTCCAGGGGTGTGTGTCTTTGCGTAGGGCTCATGTCTGTGTAAGACTCTTAATTGCTCGCGCCTGGATCGGACTCGAGCTGCTGCGGCGCAGAGAATGGTTTTGAGGAAGCAGGGGGAAGCGGAATGGAAGGGGACCGCACGACACATGTCGGGTGATACGGACCGGGGCCGAGGACGGAGAATAGCCGGACACACGTCTTGCAAACAGTCATAAGCTTTTCGAACACACGAGGGTGGGGGCCCTGGTGTGGTGGTAACACGAGCTGCTGCCTGCTCTCAAGAAGCACGCCAATCCGTGCCAAGCTTCGCTGAACCTGGCTGCACTGGCTGGGACCCGCTGCGGACAGGGCTCAGGAGAACCTAGCTGCGATACGGAGGCTGTACGGTGAAGCGCATTGCTCGCTTTTGCGAATCAACTCTGGCAATGGTGGGTGGGAACGGGAGCAACTTGTGATCTTCATGGCATTGATTGGGGAAAGGGAAAGACGGATTTGGGGGCCTGCGCGTTGGAAAGAAAGACGCTGGTTGGCACTAGATCAAAAAGGGTAATAAGGTTCAGCAGGAAAGCAAAAACATGGGTTTGGGTTTTTAAAGGGGCACGTTGCTGTATTTGTTCTGCACCAGCTTGTGTGAACAGCCCAGCAAGCTGCGTGTCATTTCACTTGACTGCGAAATGGCAGCAGCTTCCCTTCAATCATGTCATCTCCTGTCACGATGCTGTTTGTGCCCGGCAGGGCGGGGCCCGCACGGACAAAGCAAGCAGTACTACGCACTAACCGAGCTTCCTGCCCTTGCCTTGCCTATCGCACCGCGCCCGGTAAAGTCCATATGCGTTGCAAGTTCCTTAGCGCTGCATATCGCTGAACAGTATCAGGAGCAGCTGGATGTTACCATAAGGATAATTAAAAAGTAAAGAGCTGAAGAAGGGTTATGTTTGCCTGTGGTCGGATCACTGTGGGACGGTTCATCCTCAGGCGACAGGACCCACAGTGGCGCGCCTGTGGACTTCTTCGCACGCTACCAGCACGCCTGCCTGCCCAGCGGCGGTGCGGGGGAGCCTATGGCGCGGCCACCGGCGCCACCCGGAGGTGTTGGCGCGTACCTAACGGTGCAGGTGGGGATGGCGGCAGACGGTTGAGCGGAGACCTCGGGCATCCAATTCGCCTGCTCTAGGTGTGAAAGGCTAGATAAAAGGGTTGGGGCCCGACCACCGCCGCCATGGCTTGGGGACTGCTGCCATGGCCCTTGTCGACTTGTAGCGCTTTGGCAGTATCGCGAGATGGCAGCTGCTGCGGTGCTTGCAGTCTCACCGTATTGGCCCCTGCTCTGCGTACACTAGAAGACACGAAGAAGCCGTTCCTGACAGTGCACGGGTCATGATGGATGCAGGACTTGGATGGCGTTGGCGCTTTCGTGCGGGATTTCGTGTCGAAGACGGTGCTGCCGAAGCTGGAAGATCGTATCGCGCGGCTGAACGCGTCCATCACCGCTGCCCGCCGCGGCCTGCGCAACCGGCTCAACCGCTTCTGGAAGGGCACGACGGAGGACCGACAGACGGACCGGTAAGCAGGCAACCAATCAGGGGGGAGTGGGTAAGGCGTCCTTTCGTCGTAATTACCACCGTCGTCGTCATTGTCATCGGCTGCGGCAGCGTGGCTTTCAGTCCCCTGACGAAAGCATATGCGTGCACACATGCGTGGATGCATAAATGCATGGGTGAAGTTATGTGCACGTGCTTCAGCATACATAACATACTCCCGGGAGATCCCGGGATCGAGACCTGCCAAGGTCAAAAATCCTTCCGATGGTGGGAGGTAAAGTGCCCCTAGTCGATGGGCGGTGGAGACCTGGGATAAAGTTGACTTGCGAGCTGACCAGGAATGGAGTTGAGCCGCCATTGATACGGCAGATTACGTTGGATGCCGGTGGTGGGTGCGGAACCTAAGCGATCCACTGAGAAGGTGACTGTGTGACTAGATGAGGGTGGCCCGAAATACCGGGGAAGCCAGGGTTTCGCCAGGTAGCGGCCGCAGGGTGAAGATATGACCCCCCTGTCCCACACATCATACATGTGTGCCCACCGCCAGGGCACGTGGTAGGACCCAAGTCGTCCAGTTAACCAACAGGTTGCCAAGACAACTGGCTTTGCTGGCCTGCATTTGTTAGGAAGCAAGCGAACTGTTCTCGGGTTCATGCTTGCCGGGCCCATCGGCCTGCCTGCGAATCGGTCCTTGCACCAGCGAAAGCGTCCCCGCATCGATCGAAACCGCAGTTCCATCACGGCGCATCTGCCACAGTGCACCACGGATGCTGTCACGAAGGCACTGAAAGCACGGTACACACGCTGGAAGCTGGCTCGCCGGTTTCGCCGGTTTCTCCTCATCGCAACTGCACATAGCCTTTCCCCCATCGTAGGCCATATCCTTGGCACAGCGTGGAGGGCCAGATGCGGCAGCTGGGCGACCTGGCATTTCTCTTGCGTCAGTATGCTTTTGCGGAGTCAACCTACCGCCTGGCTGCGCAGGTGGGCACTGCTGTGCTGGAAACGGAAACAGTGGGCGCAAGTCCTGCGTGCGGCGCTCGGGCTCCTAGGGGGCTCTCGTCCTTTCCGTCCAGCGCACCAGGCCCCTCGGGGCCACAGAGGTCGTTTACATCCCAAACTACTGAATGAGCTTTTTGTCCTCGTACGCCCTTTGCACGCGGTCGCAGGATTACTTGGGGGAGGGCAACAGCAAGTGGTACGCTGGAGTGGAGGTGGGTGAAGCGGGAATGGGCATGGAAGAAGCAGGAGGAGGGAGAAGGAGCGAGGCGGATGTGTTTGCTGGGAGGGAGTTACAGCATGAAAGTGTTCGTGTGTGTGAGAATGAGAGAGGGAGAGAGAGAGAGAGACCCGCACACGTATATGAGCCGGTCCGATTGGATGGTTTGTGTCCTGGCCACCAATAACCCGGCCGAGGATGCGTACGTAAATGCTGCCTTGGCCAACGCGCCCACCCACGCGGCCCACGCCGGCCTGCCCTTTCATCCTTCGGCTGGTATCTGCGATTGTTTGTCTTTTTCCTCAGCTTTTTCAAAAGTTTAAACCTCACCGCCACAGGAGATGATCGGCCTGTGCACCGTCCTCGGTGAGCCCGCGGATCCCATCGCGGCGGTGCTGCTCCAAAACGACCCCATGAAGTACTTCATGCGTGCCTACGAGAATTACATCAAGCCACCCGCGGCGGTGCTCGTTGCCACGGCAGCGGTCGTGGCGTCCGCCAACGGCCCGGCTGGCGTCTCGGCGACGGGGGCGGCAGCAGCAGCGGCGCAGCCGCGTCCTGCGGCCGTGGCGGCCGGAAAGATTGGCCGCATGCTGGCGACGCGGGTGATCTTGTTGGGCGCGGCGGTGCAAAGCGCGGCGGGACGGCACCGCGCCACCAGTGATGCGCTGATGCGGGCGCAATCGGAGGAGGAGAATGCGCGCGCTGGGCTTCTACTAGAGCAGGTAAGGAGAGGCCGAGTGGAGGGGGGGTAATGGGCTGCAGGCTGCACGACCCGCAGTGAAGAACGGAGCGGATAGTACGGTAGGCAGCACAGCCGAGCAAGAAGCCATGGGTGTTCCGCGCTGTGCACGCCACCGGGTTTGCAGGTGCGACCTGCTGGTGTGTGTGTATGCGTATGTGTGTGTGTGTGTGCGGTTTGGATTGCTTTGCGTCGCGATGATGGATGCATTCGTATGCGAAATAGTTGTGAAAGGTCAGGCAGCATCCCTTGGGGGACGGTGCTCTCCAGTCGTACAGCAGGGCGCTAAAAATACAGGCCTTCTCCACCCTACGTGTATTTACCAGTTGCTGCGGCTGCGCCTCCTCGGCCCCCATGCAGCGTCTGGCACCCGCTCCGGCCCGCCGAAGCCTTCCCTATCACCCGCTCACTTCCTACCCTTATTGTCATTGTTCCCCCTTTCTTCTCTACGCAACGCACCGACCGTCAGTCAGCTTACTCAATGCTGTACGTGAGGCCACCGCTCGTTCGCAAATTTGCGTTCCAAATGGTGTTGGCTGGCATACGTTACATCTGCTGTGGCCAGAAGCGCATCGCCATACATGCCTACCGACAGGTACGGGGCTGGTGTGTGTTGCGCGGCCGGGCCGGGCCTGGTCATGTGGTGCAGTAGTGCCCCCTAGCTCCATGTTACACGCTAGCAGCTACAACTCCGCGCATGTGTCCCGTAGTTCCAACAGAGAAGCACTGGTTGACACTGATGTGCAAGGTTTCACGATGATAAGCTTCAACGGGAGGTTTGAAGCTGGCAAACTACTGAAACGGACGAAGCACGGTGTTTGTGTATGTGTGTTTGTGTGTTTCGCGCGTGTGTTTCTTCGTCCGTCCCTTCCAGGTGTTGTCGCTATACGTCGGGAAGAAATGGAAGTACCTCGAGGAGCACCTTCACGCGGTGTTGGGAGCCCAGTGCGTCGAGGTATGGGGATGCGTTGGCTCGGGGGCAGGAAACCTGGGGGTGTGGTGTTGATGTTGTGGACTGTGGGGTTTGGGGCTGGTGTTCATGCGCCACGCCAGGAAGGGGAGACGAGGCTCCGCCGTCGACACCCACCCTACCAGGGGGTTTGCCATGTGCACGCATGCAAGTGTAATTTGTGTTGGGTTGGTCACACGGAATCCCAGAGGGAAACCTGATGGAGGCAGGCAGCATCTTGTCCGTCATTTCCAGCCAACACCCAACACACCGGCCTGGTCTCGCGCCCCCACAGCATGACACGCTGCCCTCTCGTTTTCATGGTCCCCCTGTCCCCCTCCTGGCCTTCAGTACGGCGACAAGGAACGGGCGCTCTGGCACTTCAGTTCCCTTCTGGATTGTGCACATCGGCCGCCAGCCCAACAGAACAGCAACGTGGCGCAGTTCCTGAACCTGCTAGCCGGCATCCGCGACCAGCTCGCCATTACGCAGGTAAATAGACACGACGCTGCACAACCACCGCTATTATGAAGGCACTGAGATTACGTTGAAGTAGGAGGTATGGGAAGAGTTCTACAATGGTGTGCTTATGTGTTAGGTACTCTGCATCGGGAGGTTACTATGATGAGCAAGTACTAATCTCTTGTTTCAACAGAGCCTTTCTTTTATTCGCTGCCGCGCCTTTCCTCTCCGTTCCTCCGTTCGACAGGATGGCGCGAGCCTCGTAGACCGCCTCCCGCTCCCGGTCGTGAACCGCCACGAGGTGCGGGTGCTGTGCAGCGACAGCGCCTGCTATGCAGGTCCGGCTGCGCGGACGGTGAGTACACTTTGGGTTTGTAAAAAACCAAAGGGGAACCCCTTCTTCTTCCCCTTTGTGGTGGCGCGAGTCGAGGGGGGATGGCGGCGCCGTTGGTGCTGAAGCGCATAGGTGCGAGGGGAGAGTTAGGTGGTGGTGGCCGGGGCCGTGGTTGGTAGGAAAAGTCGTTTCCCGGTTGCCAAGGATAATTGGACCTGGCCTTGTCGGCTGTGAGGGCGGGTCGCCTCATGACGGGTGCGCGAGGTGGATGAGGCGGAGGACGTCGGGGAGCCCCTCCGCCGCGGCGTTTTAGGCAAGTATACTTCTGCTGCCTGCTCGACAACAGCAGTAGTATTGCACTAACGCAACACACCGCACTCGTTGAGGTGATTTTTTGCATATTGCGCGCGTGTGCCAGGCGATGTGTGCGTTTCTTTTCGCGCGCGCGCATGTGTATGTATATGTGTATGTGTGTGCGCGCGTGTATGTGTATGTGCGTATGTGTGCGCGCGTGTGATGGAACCCGTCAAAGCGGTCTATCTATCTGTGCGATCTGCGTCCTCTTCTTTCGCGTGTGTCTTTTCTTTGACATCAGGTACCTGACAGCACGTGGATTAAGATGGAGGCGTGTTGCACTAGCGGCTCCAACAACTGGCTCGTGGATGGCGGCGTCAAGCAAGAACGCGACGTAAGTGCCGCATGGAGCCGCCGCGATGTCCATATTGCTGATGAAGAAAATGGTGTTGACGGCCATGGCTCCATGTCTCGTTGGTCGGGCCGTGCAAGTCCGGCCGTGCTGCTGACACCGCCAGCACATTCTGCCACAGTACGGCCAGCGGCGATCCTTGTCCTGCGTCGCTCCATCTCCAATCCCGCACCCGCTCAGCCTCTCAACCCAATCCGCGTGCGGACATTGCCCGCGGGTCCAGTCCTTCACAGTATAAGCGCAACTCGCCCTGTGTCGCCCTCGTTCTCGTCTGCTACCTCTCCCCCCAGCACGAGGAGTACACGATGTGCGTATGCGGTGAGGAAGTGGGTGTGCAAGTGGAGTTCAGGAACCCGCTGGCGCTGAAACTCAAGGTGCGGGGTGGTGCGGTGTTGGTGCTGGTGATTTTCCTTCTGCTCTTGTTGTTGGCGGAAGTGGTCGTGGTAGTGAGCAAGGCTTGCTCGGTCGGTGGGTCGGCGGGTCACCTCGTACGTGAGGTGCCTTCCGAAGGGAGCTAGCGTGGGGCCGCAGCGGGGAGGCTACACCTGCGGGTTCGTATCCGGGTATAGCTCAAGCGCGGGTACTCGCCCGACTGCCCGCAGACTGGCTGAGGGCCTGAGACACGGTACTTGCTTAAGCACGGCGCACGTGCAACCTGGCTGGTGGCTGATTCCGATGTTGTGTACCCCATGGTTCCCGTGTTAGGTGTCGAATGTTCGGCTCATCTGCTCGTTCACACCCGAGGGCGATACAGCGGCGGCAGGGGCAGGAGCAGGAGCGGGGGGCCAGGCAACGAGCACAGCGGAGCGCAGCAGCAGCAGCGGCGGCAGCAGCGTGTTGCTGACGGCCGGCGTGCATCCGCTGCTTCCTGGCCAATCGCCGGCGGAGCTCACAGCTCAGCCGGGCAGCGAGTTTGTGAGTAGAGGGCGCGGCGTGGGTGGAGCGGCGGGCCGGAGGGGAGGGGAAGGGCGTGACTGCAGGCTCAGGTGTTTTGCTGGGCCGAGCTGCGGCATTGCCTCGCCCTGCGATACCTCTGGTGGATTGCGCTGTCTTGCTTTTGTGACGGTGCGCTTTCATCCATCTGGCCAGCTCGCCTGCCATAAAATAACGCATAGGCGATGGTCGTCTATCCCCTCATGAGCCGCGCCGTCTTCCGTTTCCCTCCCCCTTCTGTCTCTTTCTCCTTCTTTTTCAGCGCGCCACGACTCACAATCCCCCCTTGGCATCATCTTCACTTGCTCGTGATTCGTCTTTTCCCCCCTCCCCCCGCTCATCGCCTCCACAGATAACCGTCTCCGAGGCGCAGCTCACGTTGCATCCCGGCGAGGCCATGGTTGAGGTGCTGAGAGTGCTGCCGCACACACCCGGGTGGCTGAGGATCACAGGGGTGACGTGGACACTCAACGGCGTGGCGCATGGCCGCATCACCTTCGACGTCAAGGGCCGCCGCCGGAAGCGACCCAAGGGCACAAGGTAGGTTGGGGTACGAGGTGCGGTTTGGCCTGCGATGAAACTGCTTGTGAGCTGCGCGCACCACCACGTACCTGTCTGCGTGTTGCGCATATTCACGACATTCACGACACGGCACCGGGAAACCAGGGGTGGCTGGGGCGGCCAAGGTCATGTTGCCAAGACATTCTGCAGCAGCGTTGCATGATGGACTAGAAAACCTTTTTTGCATTTCTCCGCAGGCTTCCCCCCGCTGCCGCTCGAGCCTGCTACTGTGGCTGCCGAATACGTTCACTGTTCTCGTACTGCGGGTCGCCTTCCTCCGCGGCTGATTTCGCCCTCACCCTCGCCCTCATTCCCTGTCCTGGCCTCTGCCCCAAATGCCCCCCCACACTTGCCATTTCTATCTAAGAAGTCAGCGGTTGGTTTATCCTTGCATCATGTGGTCGCCTTCCCTCCATTCTGCAGGCCGGGCCAGCTGAAGCATTACCCGCCCCACCGGCGGCTGCTGTTCCAGGTGCTGCCCACCATGCCCCGTTTGGAGCTCCTATCGGACCCGCTGCCACCCGCGCTGTACTCGGGGGAGTTGTGCAGGTGAGGCCAGGCGTCAACCGACCGGGCAGGGCAAAGCAGAAATGACTCTCCTGGCGGCTTGACAAGCTTTCACGCACACAGTTTGAAGGTTGAGGGAGAGGGAGACACCAGCACCCTGGGCGACTGCTGCCAGCTGCAGCCTTTCCAGCTCCCTTTCCATCGAGGTCTCTCCTGCCACTCACAGTTTCTGGTCTCGTGCGGTTCGGCTGGCCTTGGCCATATAGACGCAGCCCACTGGCTGGTTCCTGGAGCGGAGCGGTCCCCAGAGGCGCGGTTGCCCGGTTCGATACGTGCCTGCCCTGCCCCTCACCCGGCCTTTTCACACGTCCCCTGTCCTGCCTTACCCTGACTCATACGTCCTGCTTTGATTCGTGCCGCCAGCGCTTATTGCCGCACGCTGCGCGCCCTTGCGCGCCCCGTGGTGCATGCAGTGTGCTGCTGTAGCGGCATGTTTTGTTTTTTCCTATCAGTGTGTATGGTGAGTGACTCTCACGTGGCGCTTCTCCGCTGTCCGTCTTGTTCCGCTCCCACGACTGTCAGGGTCATAATGCGCATCCGGAACGGGGGCGGGCTGCCACTGCGGTCTCTGGCGCTGGTGGTGGGGCACCAGGAGGCGGTGTGTCCCGCGACGGACGCCAACAGGAACAAGCCGCCACTGGAAAGCCTGACGGGTAGGGGGAGGACGAAGGGAGGAGGAGGAGGGGGGAAATCTTAAGATCCAAGAAGCGAAGGGTCACCTGCCGACGCCTAATAAGGGAGCAATGAGGTTAGGAAAGGAAGCTGAATCTGGGCTCAACAGGTTGCATCTGACGCGCGTGTGGGGTTTTTCCAAGAGGGGTTGGATCTGACACAGTGGGGCTTCCAGGGAGATCGTCCAATCTGTGGACGCACGGAAGCTGCCTCAGCGCCGGGTGGGTGAGCGGGAGGGTGGTTGTAGCAGTGTCAACGCTTCCCTGTCCTTCTTGCCCCTTAGGCACCCGGGGATAGCGCAGTTGGAGGCCCGCTAGCCCTCGGGTCAGCGACTCGGCAACCTGCTAAGGGCGAGGACGCGAGTCCTGATGTGAAGAGCTTGGCTGCGACTTGTTGGCGCGTGCATGCATGCATGTATGCACGGGCTGACGGTGTTTTCAGAGGAGCCGCGGGCCCAGACGACCCTTTTCATGCGTACATATGTCGGATCTGCACCCAGGCGTCCGGGGCATGGGCTCGTGCGGTCGCCTGGAAAACTTCAGGGGTGCCCCTGATTCCACGTGCCGCAGAAGCAATCTAAGACATCGCCGGGGTAACCATTCGCCTTCCTGGCTCTTGCCACCCTGCTCTCTTGCGCTCCGACCCTAGCTCGAACCCTGTGTGCTCGACCCTCGTGCTTGGTCCCCCTACGTCCCGGTCCCGCAGATCCGCGTGAGGTGGTCCAGCTCAGCAAGGTGCCGTCTTCCGTGCGCGGCAACTTCCAGCTCTACCGCCTGTGGCCGGGTCGAGAGCTGGCCCCGGGCGAGGTGCTTGAGTGGCCGCTGTGGCTCCACCCACGCGGCGTCGGCACTCTTAAGCTGCCGTTGGTGTGGTACGGCGAGCCCGCGGTGAGTGGAGTGCTTGTGCCGGTACACGCGAATGAAGTCGTGGAGGATGAGAAAAGGAGGGGTAAAGTAATTCCTTCTCGCGCCATCACGGGAGAGAGATGGGTGTGGTGGGAGTAAGTGGGATTGATGGGCGCTGCTCACAGGTTCACGCACGTCGCGAAGTGCGGGGTGGCATGGCTCGGCGTGTTTTGTGATATCTTGCCATGGCACGGACGTGCTCTTTGCTGCTCTGCACTCCTCGTATGTTTTTACGCGAAGGCTGCCCCCTGCAGCCCTCCGGCTTAGGTCTCATCCATACCGTTCTTTCTGTAAAGCGCGGACCAACAGTGGAAAGCAGTCTGAACTGGAGTTGTTACTGGTGCCAGCCCCTTCTGTCGCTGCCTCCGCTGTGCCCAACCTTGCTCTGTCCACACCAGGTTTCGGGCCCCAAGGGCGGCATGCGCCACCGCACCTTGCGCATCTGCGGCAGCGTTTCAGTGCAGCCGCTGCTGGCGGCTCGCCCCACAGTGTGGCCTTCGCCCACGCAGCTCTCCCACTACCTGCTGCGCCTGGGCATTGACAACAGCAAGGTAAGCAGCTGAGCCCGCCGCGCACCCACACCGCCACAGAAGCCACTGCAACTGCAACCGCAGCTGCAACGGTAGCCGCGCGAGCCGCACAGCCCCAGTTGGTTAACCCAATATAATACTGCGAAGTTGAGATCTACGTTAAAACTACAGTACTAGACAAACTACCTTGGCGGTATGATGCCAACTCAGGGGGCCCACCCGCACCCGGCCGCCCGGAAACTTCTAGTCGTTACCAGCTGCAGTCGCCAGCCCCACACATGTGGCTGGTGCATTGCGCGCTGTGGGCTTGTACATTTCTGTCTGACGCACCTGCAGTCGCATGAACAGCATAGCAACTCAGCTCTCTACACCACGGTTGGCCAGGGCGAGCCCTGGCATATGGTGCAGCTGAGAAGTCTTCGGCCTCCCTGGCATTAAAACTACCATCTACTCGACGATCCCCAATGGCTGTGACGCATCCTTAGCGTGACGCGAGAGCCATACGAGCAAATCGATCCCAGCGTATAGCATGTAGGAGACCCAAATGCTCCCCCCACCATGTCGAGTCTCGAGTCGGCGGGTGTCCCTTTTGTTTGGTAAGCCCCCTTTGGCGGATGGCGCTGTGCGCAGGAGGGGGAGCGCGTCGTCCTGCAGCAGGTGGCAGCAGTCACGGCGCCACCGCTGAACGGCGGCGCCAGCAACGGCGCTGAGCCGACCTTGGCCTCGGGCCTGGGTGCCTCTGATTGGTCCATCTCCCTCCTGGGCAGCCAGAGCTCGTCGACGGTAGGCGCGGCTGCGGAGCAGATGCCGACGTCGACGCCGGCGTCAACATCGCCGTCGACGGCCGAAGAAAGTGCTGCCGCCGGCGCAGCGGCCATGATGACGTTGCTGCGGAGCCTACCGCTGGCTGTACCCTTGCAGCCTGGCGAGTCTGCCAGCCTGTTCCTGCAGCTTGTCGCGCCGCCGGCGCTACCCAAACACCCGACGGTGCCATTGCCAGCGGCAGCAGGGACCGGGGAGGCGGGAACCGCAGATTCTGCGGGCTCACGGACGGTGGCTGCAGGTTCCGGAGCGGCTCCGGCTCCATCCGGGAGTGGTCTGGCGGCACCGGCGTGGCAGGAGGATACGTCTACTGCTACTGCCGCTGCTGCTGCCGCGGCGGCGCCTTCTGCCAAGTTCTCTGTGACACAGGCAGAGGAGGCTGTGCAATCGCTCGCAATTGCTGACAGCGGCGTGGCGGGGTCCAGCGGTCGCCCGCCGTACGTTGACGGCTCCGACACGGGCCTTCAGCGGCTGAATTTGTTCGGACCTGGCGTGTTGGCACACTTCTACCGGCGCGGCCGGAGAAGTATGATGGCGACCATTGGCGCTGCGGCCGCCGCGACGGCGGTGGCAGCAGCTCCTGCCGGCTCCGGCCTGTTGAGCACGGTGCCGCCCCCGTCTCGCGGCGCCTCTGCACCACCACCACACGCTCCTCCGTCCCCGCTGTCGCCATCTCCCGCGGGTCCTGGAGGTCTGCCACACCTTCAGCCCGGTGCTGGCGGCGGTGGAATGCTAGGACCTGGCCTGGGCCCGCACGGCGCCGCGCATCACCCGCACCCCCAATTCCACGCGCATGCCCACGGCCATGCCCATTCCCACCCGCACCCGCACTCGCACCCGCACCCGCAGCAGCAGCTAGACGGCAACCTACCGCGCGGGCCGCCTTACGGCGGCGTCACAGGAGGCATGGTACCTCTAGGCCCCGTCAATTTAACCAACACGCAAGGCACGCCGCAAGGGGTCTTCGGGGCTGGCGGCGCGGGCATGGGACGGTCATTGGCTCCCGCAGGGACCCCTACTGCGTCTGGCGTGGCAACTGGGACTCTGGCCCAAGGCACGGTGCTGGGAAGCTCTGGCCCGGGCCGGCCGGGGCAGGTGGTTCCCCTGGCCGATCCCCCCTTGGACCTGTTGGTGCTGTGGCACGTGGCATCGAGCACAAGGACGGGCCACCACCAGGGTCAACAGCGGATTGGGCTGTGCAGGCCCTACGACCAACAGACGGCGCGCGACCTCTCCGGCTGCTTGCAGGTGAGGCCGCGAGCAGGCATCAGCTCGGGTTGGGTTGATGGAGATGGAAGTGTCGGTGGGACCGGGGCGCTGGACTGCAGGACTGGGGGACCGCGGAGGGGATATAATCTACAACATCTGGAGTTTGCGAGGGTTCGCACAGGAGCGGCGTGTTGATAAGTGCATGATTTCAAGGGGACAGGTAGGCGCTTAGCCGTGCACCCATGGCCATGGATGTGATGGCGTGCGCCTAGCGTGCGGCTCGGGCAAGGTAGGCGTCTTGCGTTAGAGCAGGCATTCTCGAATAGGTGTGGGTAACGTTGGGTAGCCAGGCCGGCCTGGCCTGGCCTGGCTTTTTAAAAATGCCTGTTTCTGGAAGGAATTCCAAGCGATGCAGCACCAGTGGTGACCTGATAAACCTCCTATCAGTTTCACTGCGTAGCTGGCCCACTGCTTAACTTGTTTTGTCCATTAAGATGCGTCCGGTGCGACGTTTCCTTTGGCCGATCGCTGTCACCATCACCGCGCTTCTTCTTCTACTGCCGCTGCTGCTGTTGCTCTTGCAAGCTTGGGGGGAAAAGGAAAAAAGGGAAGCGCTTGATGCCTATTCACTTCCGCTTTCGCTTTCGCAGGCCCAGACGAACCCTATTCGGATGCTGCTGACGGGGCCCAACGGGGCCAGCAGCGCAGCTAGCAACGGCGGCAGCGCGGGACCGGTGGTACGACATGACTTCCGGCGCAGTTCGCTGGCGGTGGTACCGCTGCGGCTGGTGGTGCGGAACAATATGGGTGTGGAGGCTAGGCTGCAAGTCGAGGTGAGCAAAAGAGGGGCCGCCGAGGAGAGGCCGGGGGGCCTGGTGGGGCTGTTTGGAGACGGCAGGAACTGCGTTCTGTTGACTTGTGCTCACCGCCAGTGAACGTCCACATTTGTGTGTATGCATGTATCTGTGTGTGCGCGTGCGCAATAGGCAGGCCTGCACGCGGATCAACCAAGTATCCTGTCCCACCCCGCACTCAACTCGATAGGACACGCCGCACTGCCTCGACTCACCTCGCCTCGCGTTGACTTGGAGCGCCCCTGCTCACCTCCGCCGCAACTATCTCAGCCCTGTCCTCCGCTTTTCCAGTTTCGCACACAATTCGCCACACAGCTCCCCATGCACCTTGTCCGTCATCCCTCACGCCACATGCGCCAGGTGGGCGATGGCTGGCAGTCCGCCGACGCTCCCAACAGCTGGCAGGCCTCCACCTCCATATTGGGCTCCAGCACCAGCACCAGCCTAGGACCAGCAGCCCAGATGGGCCTGGGAGGCAGCGGCGCCACCGCAGCCAGCGCTGCTGGCACCATCCACGCGGGCCCTACGGGCGGCAGCTTGCCGGCCGGCCCTGCGAGTGCTGGGCCCACGGGCGGCAGCAACGCGCCGGGCGGTGGCCTCTCCTCGGGCCTGAGCCTGGGTGGCAGCGTGATGCCCATCACGTATCAGGCGGGTCTGCCGCCCTGTCCGGAGTTCTGCTGGGTGGGGCCGACCTGTGTGGCGGTGCCGCGGGTGGAGCCGGGCGGCGAGGTGGAGGTGCCGCTGGCGGTGAGTGGGCGAGTATGGGGAATGTTGTGATAGGGGCTTGGGGACCATGGGCCTGCAAATGTGTCATCTGGACGCCACTTACCGCCATGTACGCGGGGTGCAACCCTCCTGGATATCGTTGGTTCATTGTGCAGTACTGTAAGCGAGGGGGAGAAGTCGAAGGGGGTCGAAAAAGGGTGCAAGCTGCAAGGGAGTCAACCGTTCCAGCTTGCAAGGGGCCTCGAAAGGTTTCCGCCTTTCGTGCCTTCCGAGTGTCTTCCAACAGAGAAGTATGCATCGCCTCAAACCTATGAGGAGTGCTAATTACATGGCGCAGAAGGACATCTAAACAACGCGTTGCACGGTGCACCCATCCCAGTAGGCTACTGAGAACGAGGCGCGTCGTTCGCCTTTGTACAAGTACGAGGCCTCTTGACAAGAAATTGCGACGGCAGCATCCCACGGCTGACTGGGCCGATGGTTATCATGGGACTGGCCCCCCTCTTCAATCGGTATATACTGGAAATTAAATTTTTTTCCCACTCTCCACCCTTCCAACCAGGTGGCCGTGTTCAGGCCTGGTGCCTACTGCGTCACAGGCTACCGCTGCACAGCATACATGGAGTCTACAGGCGCCGTGGAGGTGCAGCGTGGGGAGCCGCTGTGCTTCCGAGTGGAGAGCTGACTGGAACAGAACAGGCAGCAGCCGCGGCTGCGGCTGCAGCGGCAGCGGCAGGAGCTATAACAGGAACTTGCTGTGGCAATAGCAATGGTAGTGGTGGCGGCAAGCTTTGCCTTCACATAATGTGTTGGGCTTGCTTAAGAGTGCAAACCGTGGCACTTTCCTGGGTGCTAATGCACCCGTGAAGGGGGTTAAGGGTCTTGGGCTCTGGATTAAGGAACCTGTCCTGTGTGCCTGGGCAATCAATCGGTGATGTCGGAGCCAACCTTCCCCAAGCTAATTGGGTGTGCTGGGCACGATTCTTACTGAGGGCGTTGCTTTAGGTCTGTCTGCGTTCTTGACAGCCGCAGTTGACGACCAGGAACGGAAGGCGCGTGTGCAACCTTGCAATGCATTATTGTGCTGCCATAGTCGCACACGTCGGGGTACTGGTATGGGTGCACATGTGTGAGTTTGTGCGTGTGCATCGAAGGACACGGGGCATGTGGGCGTGGGCCATACAGTTCACATGAAGATGGAACCAAACACGAGTTGTGCAGAGGGGGAACACCGCATTGCTTGCATAAAGGGTGCCGTAAGCTATACCCAGCCAGGGAGAACGACACAGAAACCACCTCAGGTGTCGTACACCTAGCAAAAGATTACCAGCATGGCTTTGGCACAGACCTTCCCTTTGGAGGAGGCGTAAGACACTCCGAGATAGGCCTTGAAATTGCATGATGTTGTTTCGATGGATTTGAAAGGCTGCCCTGCCTCCGTCCTTTCCCGTATCCTCATCTGTTGCCCTGCCGTGCACGGACGACTTGCACACAAAGTAACACAACACGTATGGACCAGCCCATCAACCCAGCCCCACAGCAGTAGGGCTGAAAGGGGGCCTCTCACCCTCGTCAGCCTGCACCACCTTCTAGACGCAAAGCGTGTCCACAGTTGCATAAGGAAAGAGCGTGTAAGGAGAGGATATGCAAATGCAAGCCTTAGTAGGGCATTCACGTCATAATCCGATATTGATTCGGCCATAATCGGCACGGCATACTGAAGAGCGTAAGAAGGTACGAATAAATAGCCTTGGGCTCTATTCGTGACCCTGGGCTCCCTGCGCCAGAACGCCACTACGAGTCTACGCCAGAATGCCAGGTGGTCAGATGCGTTGTGCGTTAGACACAACCAACTGAAGTACAACTTCCAAACCGAGCTAGAAGCGTAAGTGGGCCTACAGGCATATTCGCGCAACCGATTTATCAGGTCATCAAACAAAAGGATTTGTTAACGTGCAGATTAATTTGACCAGCAGACTGCATACAGACCTTGAACGAACAAACACCCCTCCCACAAAGGTGCATTATTTCGCGACAAGAAATACTGTAACGAGATAGGGATGGACCGGCCACCTACTGCGACAGTTTTCAGTAAGCTGAACTACAAGGCCACTCAATCTATGACATATTGCTGTCAATCGCGTCGATGCTTTAATCTTATGCAGTTGGCAATATACCTTACGATGTCACGGAGCAGATGCTTATGGATACGTTCGCCCAGGCAGGGCCGATCAAATCTCTCCGGTGCGTCCCTTGGCGGCTTGCACATAGATCGCCCACCCATGGAAGTCGACTAGCGGCCATGCTGCTTGCAGACTAGTAGCCGACAAGGACACGGGCAAGCCGAAAGGTTATGGGTTTTGCGAGTTTCATGATGTCCAGACAGCTCAGTCAGCGGTTCGCAACCTAAACAAATATGAAGTAAATGGGCGGATGCTTCGCGTGGATTTTGCGGATGAGCATACGCAAGACGCGCGTGGCAAGCGTGATAAAGGTGGGGTGGGGGCGGGGGTGCGAGTGGGCGCCTAAGCCGGGGGAGCAGGGTATCAATGTAGAACCACCATCGCAGATCTTACTGAGGCCCAAGCTTGTGAGAGGGAATGTGCACCACATATGTTGTGTACTTGGCAAGTGCCTTTGTGCACCGATGGCCGCGCACTGAACCATAACCAGGCATGGGGACCAACAATCAACAATCAACGAGATACCTACCGGGGTCATGCACAGCTTTAAGCCTGAGACGATCAATGCCCGAGTCGCATGTGTGCATACGGTGCATGCGCATGCTTGCGCGAAACTGCATGCTTGCGCGAAAACTGCATGCCTGTAGACACTGCTTGTTGTGACGCAGCCTTGCCAGGTGCACGTTACAGAGGGCATGCAGCTGCGGTGATCTGGTTCCGGGATCTCGGGTGTGTGAGCAAGCCAACATGGATCCTTACAGGTGTCTTGTATGCCATGCCTGCGGGATACGAACCCCCTACTACACGCCAGGACCGTTGTATGGCAGCTTCAAATCTGCATGCCTGCATGTGTGTCCCGTGCATTCGGATGTGCCTGTGTTCGTATGCATGTTCTACATGCCTCCTGGTCCACCAGCTCCTCGGCGCTATGCCGCTGAGACCCCTGTGTGCACCTTTGCCCCCACCTCCAACAGAGCCCAGGGGACCTGAGGGCAGGAGAGGACCTGAGCAGTCGCTCGCGCCGGGGCCGCCCCCGGGCACGAGGGTAAGCTAGCCTGTCTGCTGACGGGGACAGTAGGTTTGGGCGGCGGTGGACGGGCAGAATTCGCCTGATGAATGTTAGGTTACCTTCTTCCCTACCCTAAACCCTTTTCCTTCCGCCGCTGGCCACACACTTCCACACCCGCGCGCTCTCCTCGCTCGGGGCACGTAGCCAATCGGACGTGAGGCAGCGGGCGCGGCCGCGGCCCAAATGAACGCGTTGCTCGGCAACGCGCCATACACAGGGCCCTCCCAGGAGAAGATCTCCACGGTCATCGCGGGCATGACGCCCATGCAGCTGTTTGAGATTCTATCGCAGATGCGCACGCTGTGTCAGCAGAACCACGCAGCTGCGCGATCTATCCTCGTGGCGAACCCGCAGCTGACTAAGGCGCTATTCCAGGTGGGGACGGTCCGCGCAGGGCTCCTGTGGCCTCGCTGCAACCCAGGAGGTGGTTGATCCGAGGAATATGTGACTGCTGTGGGGTGTGGCGGCTGTGGCTTTTTCCTGATGGACGTTGTGCTGGGGGTTTGCAGCGAGCTGTACATGAGCCCTTCGCCACATACGCGAATTGACTGGGCGCCCCCCCAAAACACCGGGTTTCCGTTCCCACATGACAGGCGCAAGTGCTCCTGGGGATGGTGAAGGGGAGTGCGCCGCCACCGTCCACTATCGCGGCCTTGGCGCCTCCGCCCATGCAGGCGCAGCTGCCGCCGCCACAACAGCCGCCGCCACCGCAGCAGCAGCAGATGGGACCCCCGGCACAGCCCAGCGGTGGGCCGATGGGACCGCCGCCACCGCACGCGATAGCACCGCCACCGCCCGGTGAGTGCTAAGCCCGAGGGGGGGGGAAATGAGGATGGCGCTCTGGATGGACTTGAGTTGTGGCTTGCTGGGTGCTGTTGCCTTGCTTCACGTTCTTGGACTCTTAACTTTGCTGCTGGGAACCGACCAGGGCAACCCTTACCGACTGGACTATCTCGGCCGGCACTCGAATGCCGGAGCGTGCTTTACATTGCTCTCAGATGGAGTTTACAGCCACATTATGCTAACTGTGACTGTGACTCTTGAGTGTTTTGTGCCGCCTGTTGCCTGTGGTGCCCATGAGAATGCGGGCACTGAGGACCTTGAGAGTGTGCGTGTTCCCGCATCGACGGCAGGTGGGACTGCGGTGCAGCAACCCCCGCAAGGGTTGCCGCCCCAGTTTGGAGTGGCCGCGGGGCCTGGAGGTCCCTTTGTCACTACCACAGTACCCGGGCAGCCGGGGCAGCAGATGGTCACTGTGGTCAGCGGCTTGCCACCGGGTGAGTCGGGAGGGGAGGATCGAAGTAGAACTCTGATGAGCGGTGGGTGATGGGTATAGGAGCAGGCTGCTGGTGGTGCTACTGCTGGCCCAAGGGAAGTTTGTGCTCTGTGTGCAGGATTCGCATGCCTGGTATAATCGTTTCGCGTTCTGGTTTGTGGCTTTACTTGAATACATGTGGGCGCGTTGTTGACGGCAAAACGTTTTGTATACAGTTTCCGTTAGCGGAAGAGCCCACCATTGACATAGGGGGTCCAACGCAGCCCACGCCGACCTGCATTCCAAGTGGCGTGGAAGGCGCCCTGGGAAGGCCCTTGGGAGTGTTGGATATAGAATTCGCGATTGAAGGCTTGTCGGAAGTGCTTACCACATGCGTGCTCTTCTGTGTTACGGCTCGTGCTACCCTCGCTGCTTTGAAACCCTGACCTTGGCAACCCCTTCTGTTGTTTCAGGCCCCATGCTCATCGATCCTGCCACTGGCCTTCCGTACACTGCGCCTCCGGGTGCCGTGATTGTGCCAACGGGTCAGCCGGCGCCACAGCCGCAGCAGCCCATCTTACAAGCAGCGCCACCACCACCGCCCCAAGCGCCGCCGCAGCCTTTGCCCGCACCAGCGCCCGAGCCTCAACCGCAGCCTGTGCCGGCACCTGCTCCTGCTCCAGTGCAAACGGCTCCTGCTGCACCGGCGCCAGCCCCGGCCGCAGGGCCACCGGCCACCGTGCAGCTGCCTGCCAACCTGGCGCCACAACAGGCCCAGGTGCTGCAACAAGTTCTCAGCTTAACTCCGGCGCAGATCGACGCGCTGCCGCCCGCACAGCGCCAGCAGGTGTTGCTCGTGCGGCAGCAGCTAGGGTTGGGGGCACCGGGAGCGCAGTAGGGGGATGCTTTGGGAACGGTTGTGCTGCGCCGCCGGATAGTAAGATGGGCGGAAGGAATGTGGGCGCCGGGAAGATGGTCGCTTGTGTCCAGCCGCGTCAGTATCGGGCGGTCGATCGTTGGTGACGTTGGTTGGAAGGGCGGATTTCCCGTGACGTCGGCATCGCTGCATGTAAGTGGTTACTATTAACACACGTTTGGCGACTTCGATTGGCGACGAACTCTCTTTGCTAGTCTCGGCTGTTTTGGAATTTTGGTTGCACGTGATCATTGGTCCAAATTAACGGTGTGCTGTAAAAGGCGGCTCGCATGCTTTTGCGTATGCTACCGTCGTCGCTTGCTTTAATGTCGCCGTTCAGCCGCTAATTGCACATAAGGACAAGGAAGACCGGTCCACTGGGCCGCAGCAGCCGCAGCTGCTGCGCAACCGCGAGGGAACGAGCGAGCTGTGGGTCAGTAAGCAACCCTCGGGGCATCAGGGCTACCGCCACACAACTCGCCAATTCTGCAGGCCGAGAAACCACCTGAGCCATGTGTGTGTGTGTTTGTGTGCGTGTGTTACATGGTCGTGGGGTGCGTTCCCCATACCTGCAAACCGCCCAAATACGAGCCGAGCGCTGCCAGATCGCCTATAAGCGCCATCCTACCTCGCACTTCAGACAAAAGCAAGTGATAAAGGATACCAACGACCAAAGGGAACGATCGAGTTGCGGTGGGACCATATACATTCCAGCATCCTTGCCAAACGTTCAGGCTCCCACTTCATATTGTCCACTTCATATGCGCGAAGCGTGGGAAGTCCATATCAGATCTGACTCTGTCGTACACCGGGCAGTCCAGCAAAATGTGCTTCTCATCCTCGATATGGCTATCCGTGCCGCAGCAGGGGCAAACTTCGCGGAGCCATGTGTCGAGCACTCGAAATCAACGCGAGCTTGTGGCTTGCATCTCAGAGCAACTCACTCGAATCTAGCTCACAGGTTCGACAGGTCCCTAACTCGTAATTGCCAAGTGGTCCGTCTATGGAAGCTAAAACACCTCATGTTCACACGCTGCCAGCCAACGAACGGAACCAGACACAGCCGAGCACGTCTGCGCATATCCACATCGCAACGTCTCACGGGGGCCAGGTACAAGATCGACGGACAGGTCCGCTCGCAAAATCTACGCACGCACTCTACGCAGAGGACCAAAGAACTTTACGAAACTGGATTTGCTCGACACTTACTCTTATTTGGTCGTGCGCAGACCCATGTATTGCAATGTTCATGCCAGCAGCAGTCACAGCACGCGGAACAGTTCACCTCCATGAATTAACTTCCCATAATGCCGGCGGCAGACCAGTCGCCAAGCTGGCGGCGCCATTTCGGTCCGCCTGCAGCCTTCATTTTTCTTCATAAACCGTCGTACAGTTATGGGTCTGGATGAATTACGAACCTCCCTATGGCACATCAGCGGACGCAACGAGACGACGCAGGCCAAACTCAGAGAGATCCGTTACCTCGTACATACCATAGCGTGCTCTTTTAGTTATCACAGATTGCCCATTACACTACGTTGGAGTGCCAACATGGCAAGCGCCACGGAAGCAGAAATTCGAAGCATTAGCCCTCTCTCAACCTCCCTTATGCCCCAGTCGAACATACCTGGCTGCCGGTGCCGCTGCATGCGGTAGTGGCTGCCAGGCGCGTGAACAGGCCATCAAAGTGAAAAACACTATCTGCGCACCACATGCGATACAGGCGATATGCCGCGTCGTGGGCCACACACCCTCCCGCATGCTCTGCCGCAACACTGCATGTAGCCTTCCTGCATGTCGCCGTCCGTCCCCCTCGCTACACACCTCCTGCGCTGTCACATTGGACCAAGGACTTTTCCTCGGACGCCTGCCCTCCCCGACCCTGGCGATGACCTGCACCTGCGCCTCCCGATTCCCGCAGCGCCGCCTGTGGTCCCTGTTATCCTTTACTAACAAACCCCTGCCAACGCGGTCAGTCAGTCAATCAAGGACAATCAAAACGACTGCCCAATACGCCAGTTTTTTTGAACGCCAACACAACAAAAACCTCATACCTTGGGAAGCAAAGGCATGGCCGCCTCCCCGTTCTTGAGCACCGAACTTGTCCCCGCCCCAGCCAGCCCGTGCCAGTCCACTTTTAACTGGTCGGCATCCACGTTCGGCGCGGTGGGGTTTCCAGGGTGAAATGACAACACAACAGCATTAGTAACAACCAGAGGAACGGAATCGCCAATCGAAGGAACCCCAGCATCTGTGACATTGTGAAAGACCGTGCCGATGGGGGTACACCCACGCCACCACACAGAAACACGCCAAGGGCACCGCACACCAAACCACGCCTAACCATATACATTAAACCAACTGTCACTTCATAGGAAGTGCATCATACACCAGTCATTACGTTCATGCCAGGCTAGGCGACAAGAACCCCCCGGCACACTGTACGCCCAGCTCTGCCCGCCACAGGCCCTCATCCCCCATGGTGCCGCAAACCACATCCGCAGGTTCGTGGCCGACCTGAGGACCTACCCCCACGCCCCGGATGGGTCAGGCCAGTGGAGAAAGGCTAACGATAACTGCTTGAGCGTCTGTCGCCCTGTTGCCCTATAGCAGACGCCGGAGCTATACGCCTTAACACACCGACACACGGTGGGTGGTTTTGCCTCATCCTCATCCCCATCCGAAGACGTGGGTCCACGGCCCTCCTCTCAGAGGCGACAAGGACCTCGCGACGGCAGATGTCCAACAAAAGCCGCTCTATGTGGCTAGGACCGCTCCGTTCAGGGTCCCCATCATGGGGCAGGTCGGAGCTGGCCATCGGCGTGTTGCCTGGCGGCCAGGGTATCGGGCAGGAGTCAAGAGACCTGGCGGCGGCACCAAAGGCGACCGAGCCAAACCGCTGATGATGTGACGGGGGGCACACGGGTCAATGGGCCGGTAGCCCGCAATCCCGCTGTTTTTGTTCGACCAGTACTTGTCCAACTGCGTAACTTCAGAACTGTGTACTACCAGAACTACTACTGCATTCAAAGGCGTGTGCCCGGACATGATGAGTCAACGTGGAACCAGAGAAGGTGTGTGGAGCCTTCCGCACATTCCGCGACAGCAATATCGACCAAACCCTTCCAACCGCGCAACTGCAACGGGCACATTGACCCCGCTGCTTGGTTGCATTACACCTGTACTCCGCAACAACACCATTCTTTTGCGCATGTATTATTGTGTTACTATTTATGTGTAGATATGGATCTTATGTATATGGATTAGAAGAAAACAGCAACCGTATCAAAAACACGCATAATGTCTGACATGCGTGTGCTCGTTGGGAGCGCACGCTTTGCACTCGACGCTCTTCCTTTCTCGCGATTTCTTCTCCGCTCTCCCTCGCCCCTCCCTCGCCCTCCCTCGCCCTCCCTCGCCCTCCCGAGCCCGATCTCTCCCTTCCGAACCAATTCCAGATGAAGCTTTCTTTAAATTCTCTTCCACGCGCATTCCTCGAAACCGTGGGCGCCGTCGGCCCGCCACTTGCAGGCCAACACACACCACACCACAACCCTGCCGCGGCAGCTGCATGGGGCACTACCACGCCTCATACAGCGCAGCAGCAATTGCAGCAGCAGCCGCAGCCAGATGCAATCAACACAACCGGAAAGAAACACAGCCAGACGCTATGTATGGCCTGTGTCCCGATGGGGCTCTCTATACACGGCACCATCACCACACGCATTCGTAGCTCGAGAAATTCCCACCGGTCCAGCGGAATAACTCCAGAGCGGGCCAGGCGCTCCCGAAGCACCTCCTCGCAGCGCATTATCCACCTGCCTACCCACCCGTGTCGCGTGTCGTGGAAGGTGGATGTAACCATGCCGTTGAGTAGCCACGTGAGCCGTCAGCGCGCACCTCAGGAGCTCAAACGTGCTCATGTGCCAACATCGCATCATGGCTCAGTTGCGTAAAACGCACCAAGAAAGCCGCAAATCACGGGGCCACATGTATCCTCGATCCACACATTATTCAGCGGCCCCTGCGGCCGCCGCGTCCTCCCACAGCACAGCCCACCTGCGCGCAGACCTGCGGTCTATCCTCAAGGAACACACCTCTTCAAATTCCAGCCGTGCCTCGGTCCGCAAGGACTTCAGGAACTCCCGGTCGGCTGTCTATACTGTGGCTGTGGCTGTTTCCCGCAGTCACCACGATGTTTCTTTTTAGAATCTGCCCTCACCGTCGCCGCTGACGCGCGCGTCGCCCTCACAGAACTCGTCACCATCATCGCCGTCGCCGTCGACCTCGGGCAAAAAGTGTTCTGGGAGCTCGCGCTGTAGAGGGGCACCGCCGAACCGCAGGTCGGGCAAGGTGATGGACCGACGCCGCGCGCGGCGCCGCCCGACGGGGCCGCCACCGTCGATGCAGCCCACGCTGTCATCCGCCATCACCCGGGGGTTACCGCCACCCGCAAATTGGAACGACGGCTCGCCGTCGTCCCACCGCTGCTCCCCAGTCATGTAGTCCGTATTGCCGCTGCTGCTGCTGCCGCTCGCCTGCGCCATCGCCACCGCCACCGCCTCGCCTCCCATCACCACCCCAGTCGCCGGCCCAGTCTCCGCGGGCAGCTGCGCCGACACCGTCTCCGCGATCTTCGCGTACGCACTCCTGGCGTGCAAGTGCGACGGCGAGTCGGGTGTGGATCCCAGGGGCGATACCAGGTCCCCCCCCACGGGCTCGCTGACGCTCCCATGAACATTAGCGGTGCCGTTGCTGATGCGGTGCGCGCGAGCGATAATGGCCACTGACGTCGCCAGCCCGCCGGCTGGCTTCCCCATGGCGCCGCCGGGGCCCCCGGCATATCGACTCCCGTACGTCGCACTCTCAGTGGCAGATTGCAGCGGCCGCATCGCATCGCTGTAGGCCTTCTGCAGCCGTACCTTGCCGCTGCCTCCACCTCCGCTGCCGCCAGGGCTGTAGCTGTGCACGCCAGACGACACCGTTGACGGCGACGCCGGCGTCATGGCCGTGCGGCGACGCGACGCGGAGCTGGCTGCGGCTAGGAGTAGCTGCAGCCGCACGTAGCTGTTGGCTCGACCCACAAGCCCGATGCTGCCGATGCTGCAGCTGCCTCCGCCTCCTCCTCCCCCACTCCCGTAGTTGCCTCGCCGGTTGCCGCTAGCGTTAGAGGGGCGGCCGCTGTGTGAGCAGCGGTCGGTCAGAAAGCTCTGCGGGATGTCCAAGTTCACCTGGGTTCATGACGACGAGACGAGGGAACCAAAGGAGGGAGGGAAGGAAGGTGGGAAGGGGGCACGGCATGTGGTGGCCAACAGTCACGGCCGTGTGACACCGCATGCCATGGGTGAGGTGGACGGCGGAGCGCGACGGCACTTGACAGTCCGTGCGGGCTCCCGTGCCCCTGAGAGTCAGTCCGCTGGTCCGCAGGACTGCCCCCCTCGTGAAACAGGACATCCGGGGGGCCGCATCAGACCCCACCCCACCACACCCCACCCCACCAGCTGCCCAATGAATCCCCCTGCCCCTGGGCCGCATCACACCACAACCGGGCTGGTGTCGGATGAGCGGGACGAGGTCTGGAGGCCAACAAACCTTGGTAGCAGTAGCAGTAGCAGTAGCAGTAACACTAGTAGTAGCAATAGCACTGCAATCGCAATTGCAGTAGCACGCCTCCCCGCAGCACAATCCCCGTGTTTCCCCTTCCTGAACACCACCAGCCCCCCCGGGGCCCAGCTTTTGATGCATGACGGGCCCCTACGGGTACCACATCCCGGCCTACCTGTGACGTGGACACCGCCGGCACTTTGCGGCCAAACAACATGGACAGAGTGCCACTGGCTTGTAGGCCATGGGGCGGCGAGGCCGAGGCCGACGGAATGGACGAAGCGTTCGAAACCCCCGCCAAACGGCTGGTTGAACGATGCCGCTGCAGCAGCTGCGACCGAAGCCGCTGCTGAGAGCCGCTGAGAGGCTGCACCGCTGACTCGTCGGACGCGCCGGCGCCGACACCAGACGGCCCCAGGGCCGCCTGAACCGCAGCCCCCGGGGCCGCTGCGGCGGGTGATGCGACAAAGGCGTCAACGATACCGCTATTCCCCGTCAGAACGCAGGGCGTTGTGGCGACCGAGCTGGCCAATCCGGCGGCGGAGGCAGCCGCAGCTGCGGCTCCGCCGCCGGCACCAGCGGAGAAGGACGCACCGCTGCCGCCCAGCAGGCGGGCGCGGATGCTGCCGATGCTGCCGCTAATGCTGCCGGCGCTGCTGTGGACTGCCGCCGTTGCCAGGGCTACGCTCGGACTGGACGATAAGCAAGACGGCAGGACATACTGCTGCTGCTGCTGCAGGAATACCGGGGGCGGAGGCAGCAGCAGGTCCCCGGTGGAAGCAGCCGCGCCGGGCGATTCAGCTAGGTGTTCTGCGGGGTGCTCTGCGACGCGATACAGCTGCGAGTCATGAGAAGCCACCATAGGGTTGGACCCAAGCGCAAAGGACAGCGACACATTGTTGATATTGCTGCTGTTGTTATTGTTATTGATGCTGTTATTGTTGTGACTGTGATGTTGTTGGCTACCGTTGCACTGTTGGTACTGAGAGCCTTGGAAGCTGCAAGTGCTAAGGTAGCCGTCTGCGAGCTGCTGCAATGAAGGCAGGGGACCCTGAACCCCGGCTCCGCCTCCGCCACCGCCTCCGCCACCGCCTCCGCCACCGCCTCCGCCTCCGCCTCCGCCACCGCCTTGTGATGCAAATGCCGTACAAGGGAAGCTACCGTCGGAGCGCAGCGTCAGATCAACAAAGCTGCCACCGCCGCCGCCGCCACCGCCGCCGCCGCCGCGCTCCCGCATCCCTATAGCCATCGCCTGCGAAGCTGAGGCGCTCATGTGCCGAGTGAGACACACTCCGCCGCCGTGGTGGCTGGAGCGGGAGGTCTCGCGGCTCAGAGGGCCAAAGCTGCCACGGTCTCGGTCGCCGCGGTCGGCGCCCACGAGCGCCGCCACAGCGGCGGCGGCATGTGCGGTGGCAAAAGCTCCACTGCCGTTACAGCTGTAGAAGTGCGCAGCGCTGGGGCTATCCCGGGTGCTTTGGCTGAGACTGAGACCCAGCGCAAGGCCGAGGCAGGATTTAGGGCTCGGTCTGAAGGCATCTTCAGCGGCTGGCTGAGCGCGACGCAGGCGTTTGAGGCCCAGCAGCTTAGCGACGCGCTGGCGGGAGAGCTGTTCGGGGGCGGGGGCGGTGCCGACGGCGCCACCACTGCCGATGCTGACGCCGCAGCGCCATTTGGACGGGCCCTGTGGGGAGCAGCCAGGTGGGCGTGAGGGAGGGTGTGAGGGAGGGCGTGAGGGTGGCGATGGTATAGGACGGGATGATACTCGCGACACAGAGTGGGGATGTGGGTTGGAAGGAGAGCGATTACCGGGTGGCAGTGAAATGGGTGCCGTGGGTGATATGGACGAGAGGGTCAACGCAGCGGTGACGACACAGCGGAGCACTGTTGAGGAGCAGCCGGGGAAACATCATCGGTGCCCAAATAAAAAGAAATTCCCCGACACCGACACCGACGCTGATGCCGACACCGACGCTGATGCCGACACCGACGCTGATGCCGACACATCTCATCATTATCCACCCATCCACCCACCTCGTACAATTCCAAACCAAGCCAAACAAAACCCTCAAACCCGCTACTCACCCAACACCCAGACATCCACATTATGGACATCGGCACATGCTTATTCGACATGATGAAAAAGTAATATAATTACCCCCACACGCAGACAGACAGACAGACCTACACATCCACACAACAACAACAACAACAACAACAACACCCTCACACCGCGCCTCCACACCAATTACCCGCACAACGGCTCCCAAGTCCGCCAGCAGCTGCTGTAGGTAGCGGCGCA